GCCTGTCATGGAAGGTTAATGGTGTCCCCCAATTTCATTTTCTTCACTGATGTTAAAACCGCTCATCAGGAAACAAAATGAAAAATCAAATCTCAGTGTTTTTAACGAGGCTCGTCACTGTAGGAGGCTAATTTCTTCTGCATCCCCGACAGAAAAGATGCTGTATATATTTAGACTCCAGCACAGTGTCTTTGGCACCCAGTGATGGTAAATCAGCAAAGGTCCTAGCAAATTTTTGAAACAGGTTCCTGATTGGCTGAGTTTAATGCCACCCTTCTGAGAAAGGGGAGGGTGCCAGATGGTGGAATAAGCCACTGGGAAATGTTGGACAATTTCCAGAAGACGGGTGAAACTTTCCAACTCCCAGGTGCCAAATGGCAGCAACCAAAATAGCTCTTTCCCACCCAAAATTAGCCTGCTAGAATCCTGATTTGTAGTAACACAGATGTAGGTTCGTGCTCAGACCTTCACATCCTCAGCTAGCTGAGAAACAACTGGGCAAGATCGGTAATATAGGAACGGACCTGAGAGCATCTGCTAAAATTCTGGAAACCAAATCCTGCCCTAAAGTCAAGTCATCCAGGGCAGCCCCCTGCATGACATATTGCAGTAATCCAGCCGGGAGGTTACCAGGGTATTTGATTACGGGGCTAGATGATTGCTGTCCAGAAATGGCTGCAGCAAATGAATGTACAGTGAGTACCTCGGGCAGAGAAATATGTCTGTCGCTCATAAACAGGGACCAGTGCGGTGAACCGATTCGTCTGGGGATTCTCGACGCCGTGGCCACATTTAACAGGGGCAACATACAGACCCGGCACAAATTCCCCCTATGCAGTTCTGGATTTCCAAGCAGCCCCATTAAATATTTCACAACTACCCTGAGCAGCTTCCACGGCTCCAGTTGGCAGCCTTCTCCTGTGTTATGAAACATTTATCAGCCAGAGCGAGGAAGTCAACAGCGCTGGCCGACGGGGCTGAAATTATCTATGCCCCCCCCCACTCTAGCAAATGGAGCGAGCGGAAAATAGCACAGGGCCCCAAGGATTAGGCAAAGTTTACGACGCGCCAGTTGGCAGACCAAGCCATGTGCCCCAGGGTGGGGTGGCTAGTCCTGCAACAGGGCCAAGAATTGCATTCAAATCATCCCCAGAGACTGGGGATGGGGAGGGGGGGGGAGGCTGCCTCTCGGGAAAGAGCCAGTGGGGCTTGCTGTGGGGTTTTGATCCTGGACAGATGGAGAGAAGAGGCAGAATAGGATGCCTCCCCCCATGCTCCGACCCAGCGTGAGGCACCTTCTTTTGGCAGTGGTGGAACTGTATTTATTTCTTGGGATATTTATTGTTCATTGTCTATTAGTTCTGTCATTCTGGGGAGCCGTGTGCTGTTCTGGACTGGGGCCAACCAGACCCAGGTTCAGCAGGGAGCTTCCTGGGTGACGTTGGGCCCGTAAACTGGCTCTCAGCCTTTCCTACCTCGCTGGGTTGTTGTGAGGGCCATGGGTTGGAGTGGTGGTGGACTGGGACTTGACGAATCAGGGACTACTCGCCACTCAGCATGCAGCTCTCCCTCGGTGACCTGGGACCCGTTGATGATTCTCAGACTGCTCTAGCTATCAGGGTTGTTGGGAAGATGAAGCAGAGGCGAGGAACAGCATGCGAACCACAGGTTTTCCCAGCTCCTCCTCCGCTGCCTGGGCCGGAGCGAGAGGCAGCGAACAAGCAGGTCACGCGAACCAAGAGGTCGGGCCGTCAAGCATTTCTTCAAGTGGAGAAGTCCATGTTGCGTTTAATTCAATTGTGCCGCTGTTGAATGTTTTATCTTGTTTTGAATATTGTATGATTTCGAGCTTGCGATGTACATTGCCTTGAAATCCATTTTTCAGCTGAAGGCGCTCTTGATAAATTCTTAAACTGAATAAATTCGGAGACAGTACGTTGATGATCACGATGATTTACGACACCCCCACTGACTTGTGCATTACATAAGCGAAAGGTTCAGACTCCCCTATACATTGAGCTAACCTGTCAAGTCACCTTTGCTAAGCTGGAAAGATGCGGGTATTCCGGTTATCTTTTGGCTTCCTATGTTAGCATTCCAATCCCCCATGATGATAAGGACATCATTTTTGGGTGTTAATTCTAGAAGGTGTTGTAGGACTTCATAGAACTGGTCAACTTCAGCCTCTTCAGCACCAGTGGTTGGGGCATAGACTTGGATTACTGTGATGTTGAATGGTTTGCCTTGGATTTGAACTGAGATCATTCTGTCATTTTGGCGATTGTATCCCAGTACTGCTTTTCCTACTCTTTTATTGACTATGAAGGCTTTACCATTTCTTCTGAGGGATTCTTGCCTGCAGTCATATACCTGATGGTCATCTGAATTAAATTCACCCATTTCTGTCCATTTTAGTTCACTGATTCCTAAGATGTTGAAGTTCAGTCTTGTTTGACCACATCCAGCTTGCCTTGATTCAAGGATCTTACATTCCAGGTTCCTATGGAGTATAGATCTTTGCAGCATTCGACTCTCCTTTCACCACCAGATACATCCGCAACTGAGTGTCCTTTCGGCTTTGGCCCAGTCGCTTCATTCTTTCTGGTGCTACTAGTACTAGCCCTCTGCTCTTCCCCAGTAGCACATTGGACACCTTCTGACCTGAGGGGCTCATCTTCCAGCGTCATATCTTTTTGCCTTTTGGTCCTGTCCATGGGGTTTTCATGGCAAGGGTACTGGAGTGGGTTGCCATTTCCTTCTCCAGTGGATCACGTTTTGTCAGAGCTCCCTGCTATGGCCTGTCCGTCTTGGGTGGCCTGCACGGCACAGCTCATGGCTTCATTGAGCTACGCAAGCCCCTTCGCCACGGCAAGGCAGTGATCCAAGAAGGAGTACCAGAAGCACCTTCTCCTTCTGTGCCAGCAATTAGAAAGAAGGTGACCATCTCACCACTTGGATCACATGCAGCTCAAAATTGTATAGTTGTGGATGAACATCTGGTAGGATTGCATTTAGTATGTGAATCTCATCAGATGGCACTTGATAAAATGTGATGGACAAATTGTCTTTAAACCCGTTGGTGATCTATCAAGGGAAGCAGGTCAGGATTGACTACCATTCTACAAATCCCCTCCCAGTTAAGATCTTGTCCTGGCATGTAGTGGCTTTCTAACCTAGTTGGTGAGAATGGCAACATGTTGCAAAACGTTGCAATGGTTTTCATTTAAGAAATTGGTTTGCCTCAGCAAGTCTTCCCTTGCTGCCTGGGCTTCTGCTGTGTTTACCACTACCAATACAATCAGACAATAGAGGTTGGCCCAGAGTTGCTTTTGCAACTGTGATTTCAGTGGACCTATCAAGTTGTATTTGCCTTCAGGAAACTATCCTATTTTCTGCTCCTGTTTTTCATTACCTCGAAAATAGCTTGTCTTTTAACTTCCATCCAACTGGCTTCTGGATTTTGGCTTGACTCTTCTCTTGGACTGTGTTACCCCTTGACATCTCTCCCAAATTTTAACCTTGGCTATGCCTTAGCCCTCCCTCTGGAAAATCCCCCCCCCTTTTTTTTTTGGATAATGCCACTCTTTACCATTTACCTGCTAAACAGATTTTTCTGTGCCATGTGTGTCTTTATTGCGTTGCAAAGCGGCAGGCCCAGTTAGAGTAGAACATCTGGCTGGTTGGGATTCATTGTTTCTTCCCCAGTAAATCCTGTATTGGAACCCTCAAAGTCTTGTGATTTAATTTGTAGAAGCTCTAAAACTTTTTTAGATTTGGCTTTAAATCCGGCTTTAAATTTTGCATTATGCTTGTCTAATAATTTTATTGTTATCTTTGTTTCATATTGTATTTTTATTGTCTGTTATATGCCATTACAAACTGCCCAGACTGCTTCGGCTATTGGGCAGTATAGAAATACAAGATGTCCCGAAAATTCAACATTATTTGAAATGTGAATATCTGAGTAACTACATGTCCCAGGCAAATGAAATTAAATAAGCTTCATGTTGAACAATAGAAGATTGATTTATCAAAATTCGAACAAGAGATTCACAGGGATGTAGATTTTATAACCGATTTTCACAAAGCTTCACAAATGTTCAATATGTGCACCGCCTGTGACAAGACACACATGAAGTCGGTAGTCCACCTCCCACCAAACACTCTGTAGCATCTCTTGCGTAACATTGCATAACTAACTTTAGTTAGTTTTTACACACTTGGTTAAAATTTGAGATCATTTGAGAGAGAATTGACTATGTTATTAGACTACAAAATGATGTCTATTTACTACTAAAAATACTACTAATATTTTTAAGTTCAGCTATTTTAAAAGTTTCTGTTTTTTCCTCTGCTCTTTGCAGTAGCAGGAAAGTTTTGACTGTGCCACTGTATGATTTTTGACAGTGATTCTATGATTCACATGTTTCATCCATGTTTCATTTATTCTGCATACTTACTATCTTTTGGGTGAAACCAGACTTCTCGAAAAATAGGTAGACTGACAGGTTTGGCTCGGTTCAGCTTCGTTTGGCTTGTTTCTGTTCCATTCTGCATATTAGCATATGGATTGTAAGTAGTCCCTTGATTGAAAGGAATGGGTGGAGGGAAAATGTGGATACCTATTTCCCAATTAAGAGGATAATAACATGTTTTCCATGGAAGTCACTGGGAAAGTGCAACTCCTCCTATGAATTTCATGTTATCTCCACCACCTGTTGGCTCATAAAAGTCAACAAATGATGTACATATTGCAGCTCCTACATTTAGGACTGCAAGTCCATTCATGCAAATTTTCTGTTAATTTGGACTGCATCATTGCGTTGTGCAAAACAACATTTTATAGTTGAGGATGGCCTCATCTTCTCAGGTAATAATTAGGGCATTGCAGAAGGTGTCTTAGGACTATCACTGCAATAAGTAGGGATGGCCCACGGAGGAAGGACTTCAGAAGTTGCTGGTACCTGGAGAGGTCATACCTCTATTTCTTTGCAGCAAGAATGGAATTTTATCAAAGTCTCTACTTGCAGGCATCCTACTTCATCATCAGTATTCCATTTGCACTGTTCGCATGGCTGCTTTATTATGATTTTACAAAGGCAAACATTCCCCCAGGAATGAAGCACCCAGCAAAAATCCGTGCCTACAGTTTGTGCACTCATCTCGTATATGGATTGGTAAGTTTCTCTTCCTAAACTTTTTTTTTCAATCTATACCTTGCATGCATTGCGAAGTTCTCTATTTATGTGACAGGAAAGTCAGAGCTTCATAATTCATTGAATTAGGAATTCGTGCAAGTTAATTCCATCTATTTCTTGTGTGTTCCTTAGAATGTATAATGTTTCTATTCTGAGTCCTTTTAAAATGAAATGTGGTTCTATATTCCATATCTCAATCAACTGGCTGGCTTTTATTTTATCACACATACAATAAAAATTGTTGTTTTGCTGAAATTATTAATTCAGACTCAAACATTTCAGCTCCTTCTGGATGTCTAAGTACACTTATTCTCATGTTTGGTCTCTGTTTCCATGAAGTTTGAATGAATGTTTGAGAATAACTCACAGACTTGTCTCCCCATGTATTGCTGACGGCAAATTTGATGGCAAATTTCATTCAAGCCTCCTGCTTCACCTCTTCCTCAACTCTTCAGAATTACAACAATATGACACTGTTGTGAATTTCATTTAAGATTTCAGCATCCACTCCCAAATTCCAAAGGAAACATTGAACCAAGCCTCTGATAATGCATTATTCCACATGATGCATTAAAATAGAATCCTAGAATTAAAGGAGAAGGGTCTTTTCAGCAGTGCCCCCATCCCCAGTTATGGAATAAGCTCTTCACCGAGGCTCACCTGCCACCAACTTTACTATCTTTTCAACACCAGTAAAAATCTTCCTCTACTGCAGGGAATTTATTTATTTAGAAAATTTCTATGCCGCCCCATTCGCCGAAGCCTCAGGGTGGCTCACAAAACATCAATTAAAATATAATACATTAAAAATATAAAACGAATTAACAATATAAAATAAGTCACCCTGGCCAAAGAATAAAATAAGCAAATAATATTAGCAATTAAAATGACGTTTGAATAAAAAGGTCTTTGCCTGGCGTGGAAAAACAAATAACGACGGCGCCAGGCAGACCTCTCTGGGGAGCGCATTGCATAGATTGGGCGCCACCGCAGAGAAGGCCCACCTCCGAGTACCTACCCTCCTAATTTCCTTCACGGAGGGTTCCTGGAGAAGGGCCTCCCCTGAAGATCTCAGGGGGCAGGCGGGCATATATGGACGTAAGCGCTCCTTCAGGTAGCCAGGACCCAAGCTGTTTAGGGCTTTATAGGTCATCACCAACACCTTGAATTGGGCCCGGACTTCAATGGGAAGCCAGTGAAGCTGACGGAGGACTGGAGTCATGTGAACATAACGCCCAGTCCCCGTCAGCAGCCTGGCAGCTCTACTTTGAACCAACTGAAGTATCCCCACGTAAAGCGCATTACAGAAGTCAAGGCGGGAAGTCACCAACATGTGTGTCACTGTCGCCAGGCAGTCGTACTCCAGGTAGGGGCGCAGCTGATGGATCAGCCGAAGCTGAAGGAAAGCGCTCCTTGCCACTGCTGTCACCTGAGCTTCCAATGAAAGCTCTGGGTCGAGGAGCACTCCCAAGCTGCGGACCTTGTCCCTAAGAGGGATTGCAACCCCATTCAGGACTAGGTTCAATTCACCCTCTCCGAAGTCTGATCCGCCAACCAACAGGACCTCCATCTTGTCTGGATTGAGCTTCAGTTTATCGGCCCTCATCCAGCCCATTGCCTCGGCCAGGCACCGGTTCAGCACAGCCACTGCCTCACCAGGGTTGGTGGAAAACGAGAGGTAGAGCTGGGTATCATCAGCGTACTGATGATTCCGCAGCCCACACATCCTGATGATCTCTCCCAGCGGTTTCATGTAGATGTTAAACAGCAAAGGGGACAAAATGGACCCCTGCGGTACTCCATGGCATAGCTGCCATGGCGCAGAGCCATAGTCCCCCAGCACCACCTTCTGGAATCGGTCATTGAGATAGCAGAGGAACCACTGCAAAGCAGTGCCTCCAACCCCCAATCCCGCAAGCCTATCCAGAAGGATACCATGGTCGATGGTATCAAAAGCCGCTGAGAGGTCCAGAAGAACCAAGAGGGACGCACTCCCCTGTCCTTCTCCCTGAACAGGTCATCGTACAGCGCGACCAAGGCAGATGCAGTTCCGTACCCAGGTCTGAAGCCGGACTGAAATGGGTCCAGATAATCAGTTTCATACAAGAGAGCTTGGAGTTGTCCCGCCACCACCCGCTCCAACACCTTGCCCAGAAATGGGATGTTGGCCACTGATCTATAATTAGTGGCCATCTCTGGATCCAGTGACGCTTTCCTCAGGACAAGTTGGACTACTGCCTCCTTTAAAGGGGCAGGTACCCGACCCTCCCTCAGAGAGGCGTTAACCACTTCCAAGATCCAGATGCCAATCCCGTGCTTGGAATTATTTATTAACCAAGACGGGCAAGAGTCCAATAGGCAAGTGGTGGGACGTACTCGTCCAAGCACCTTGTCCACATCATCAGGCCGCAATAACTGAAATTCATCCATTAATTTTGGACCAGACGGCAGCATTGGTGTCTCCTCAGAAACCTCTGAGTCACTAGTAGAGTCTAGCTCGTGACAAATCTGAGCGATTTTCTCCCTGAAATGCATGGCAAAGTCGTCACAGCGGGCCTTTGAGGGTGGAACCAGATCTTTCTTAGGACCTGGACGAACCAGGCCTTGTACCACTCGAAAAAGCTACGCTGGACAGCATTTTGAGGAGGAAATGGAAACGGAAAAGAATTTCTTTTTCACTGCCCTCACCGCCACAGCATAGGCCCGATAATGGGCTCTCAAGTGTGTTCGGTCAGATTCATCCCGTGATTTCCTCCACCTATGTTCTAGCCGTCTCCCAGCCTGCTTCATCGCCCACAATTCAGGTGTATACCAAGGGGAAGAGTGGGCTCTGCCTGGCGGGAGAGGACGCTTAGGAGCGATTGTGTCAACAGCCCTAGTCATCTCCCCGTTCCATAGTTCGACCAGAGCCTCGACAGGAGCACCATTCTTGTCAGCCAGAAACTCCCTCAGGGCCTTCAGGAATCCGTCCGGATCCATTCGGCTCCATGGGCAGACCCACACAATCGGGTCCACACCCTTACAGAGGAAGAGGCTGCTCTCGAGCACAAACCTCACCAGGAAGTGATCTGACCATGACAGGGCTGTCAGACATAAATTCCTCACCCTCAGACCACCCTCTTCCTGCCCCATCGAGGAAACCAGGTCCAGAGTGTGTCCACATTCATGGGTCGGGCCGGTGACATGTTGAGACAGCCCCATGGCCGCCATGGAGGCCATGAAGTCCTGAGCCGCCCCGGTCAGACCAGTCTCGGCATGGAGATTGAAGTCCCCCAGGACCAACATCCTGGGAGTCCTCAACACCAGGTCCGAGACGATCTCCGTCAGCTCAGGCAGGGAGACTGTTGGGCAGAAGGGTGCACGGTACACCAACAGAATCCCCAATCTGTCTCGGTCGCCCAACACCAAGTAGAGGCACTCTAGCCCTGGTCTTGAAGGGACCGGAAGTCCCGTGAGGGAGATGGAGGCTCGGTAAACCAAAGCAACCCCCTCCTCTCCCCTCCGGGCATGAACGGTGCTGAACCAGATACCCGGGCGGGCACATTTGAGAGAGGGTGACGTCCCCCCCGTCTCCTGCCCAGGTCTCCTTTATGCAAGCCAGGTCGGCCCCCTCATCCAAAATCAAGTCATGGATGAGGGAAGATTTATTGTTGACCAACCTGGCATTGAGCAGCAGCACCGTCAGGCCCGAGGGGTGGTTGACAAGACTACCTGGAACCCTCTGGCTGGGGGCAAAACCAGAAGGAGGGACAGGTGTCAACCATCTGTCCCTCCTTCTTCTACGCAGACACGTTAAGCCCCTACTGCTGTTATGTCCATTGCCCATGACCACCCCTATGGTGGCACCCCCCGCGCTCCCCAGGAAACACAAACGTCGACATGGCCAGGGACGACTCCATAAAAACCAATTAAAACAGATTAAAATACAATAAAATTATAAAAACAATAAAAAACTCCCCATTCCCTCGGTGGTGCGCCCCAGTCTGGCGGCAGCAGCAGCGATGGCGACAGCGCAGCGCGGTAGGTGGACCAATTAAAACATGGCCCCTAGCCAGCCCAGCCCCCCACTCAGCCCCGAACGGCTCCCAAACAATAGTGTATTGGGGCCTGCTAGTAAACAGGTCTTAAGTTTTTTTTCAAGCTATTATGATGTTTTAATCTTTTTTGAATCTGGTTTTAAATTTTGTATTGTAAACTTTATATGATGCTTTAATATGCTAATATGCTAATTTGGCTAATCTAGACAGCATACTAAAAAGCAGAGACATCACCCTGCTAACAAAAGTGTGTATAGTCAAGGCTACGGTTTTCCCAGTTGCAATGTATGGCTGTGAAAGCTGGACCAGAAGGAAGACTGAGCACCGAAGGACTGAGGCCTTTGAATTGTGATGCTGGAGGAGACTACTGCAAGTCCCTTGGACCGCAAGGCGATCAAACCGGTCAGGCCTAGAGGAGATCAACCCTGACTGCTTTTTAGAAGGCCAGATCCTGAAGATGAAGCTCAAATACTTTGGCCACCTAATGAGAAGGAAGGACTCCCTGGAGAAGAGCCTGATGCTGGGAACAATGGAAGGCAAAAGGAGAAGGGGACGGCAGAGGATGAGGTGGCTGGATGGAGTCACTGGGATGGAGGGTGTGGGCTTGGGTGGACTCCGGGGGACGGTGGAGGACAGGAAGGCCTGGAGGAAGGTTGTCCATGGGGTCGCGATGGGTCGGACATGACTTCGTGACTAACAACAGCAACAATGGTATATTATGTATTGTGCTTTCAATGTGCCGCTGTGAACCACCCAGAGAGTTTTGGCTCTTGGGCACCACACAAAATAAATAAATCGATCCATAAAATCATAGAACCAAGAAGACCCTTGGATCCAACCCCTGCTCAGTGCAGGACTCAAAGTTAAGGCATCCAGTTCAGATGGTTATCCAGCTGCATCTTAATTGCCTACAGTGTGGGAGAGTCCACTACCTCCCAGGGTAATTGGTTCCATTGCTGTATTCTTCTTAGTATTACTAATGCACTAATTAGTGATGCTCCTAAGTAGCGTCTTCATTCTAATGTGGGGAGGGTTTTTCCTTAGCCATGGCTGACTCACATCAAATCGCTGTTTGTTGCTCAACTGCAAATAATGACAAAGGGCTCGGCCGCACCTCCTATGTAATAATAGCTAGGAACTCTATGGGGCTTCTGCGGGAGAGCGAATTCCCAGACTCATTAAGCATGAACACACCTCATGAGTTCCAGTCCATCTACGCTTTGCATTTCATCAGGCACTGTACTTTCCAGCACTTGTCACTGCCCCATTTGAATTTCGTGCAAGTGTTTTTGTATGCATTTCCATAAACATCCACTTCTGAAAATGTGCAGATCTTTCTAAAATGCACACTTTCGTTCTTTGATCTGGGGTAGAACGAATGCACATTTTCAGTCATTGCGGGTTGTTAATATTATTTGTTAGGCATTTGCAAAGAATCCATATTGGATGGAAAATACGCTAGATTCCCTGTTGCAGCTTCCCAGATTCTGGTCCACTTTGCAGCAGTCCAGGGTGCTGGCAGAAGTGAGTAGGGAAGAAGATTTGCTACCGGAAAGGGAAGCTGGTGCACAGTGAGCAGGAAATAAGTTTGGTCACAAGGAATGGCTGCTGGGGAAGTTTGCCAGTTGTGCAGCCGGAGGTCTGTAAGACTGGGGGCCTCCTCTTCGCTTGGCTTGGCTTGGCTTGGCTTGCTTGGCAGGACCAGCTGGGCCCAAGAGGACTTCTGTTATTGTGGAGGGATGGGTTCCAAAAGGGTTCATCCCAGCCCTATTCTCCGAATTTTTCTATGACTGAATTTGTGTAAAAGTAAAGGAAGTTTAAAAATTGATGCAACTCAGGAAATGCTGATTTGCAGTAGAATCCATGGATTATATTCATGTAAGCACTGCACCGAGCTTTTCCACAGTTCTTATACATCTTATTTCATTGGTGGTCCTTTACAGTTTGCAGAAGTCTATGGCTCCATGGACCTAGCCAGAGAAGACTGACATGGAAAGTGTTTCCACCACACAAACACTGGCTGAATTCAGACAACACAACAGGCCATGGTGGTTTCTTACCATTGTTGGTCGTTTGTGTTGTCAGCACCCAGTCATAGTGTTTCACTATGGTATGTTTGGAAACCACAATAAGAACCTTGGTTTGTTCCATGTTTTTGATGTACCACCATGGCTTGTTGTGTTATTGGAACCCAGAACCATGAAAAGAGAGAGTGCACTTGCTTGTCCATTGAGTAGAGCATGGGGAGAAAACACCAACCACTCTGACCATGTGTCATGGTTGTGTGAATGCAGCAATTGAAAGTGACTGCTGAAGTCAGGTGAAAATACATGAGGCAAACATAGAGATGGCAATCAGGAATGAGCTCATCTTTCGGAGTGCAAGCTGGATGCTGGTGCTTTGATGAGGAGCAGTTGCTGCATGCAGGTGTTTGTCGCCATGGTGCCCCACCTGTCTGCCATGGCGTGCTCCTTTCGGCTTTCTCTTTCAAGCGCCGCAATATGCAATGCTGGAATGGACCAGATGTCAACACTGACTGGAACTTATTTTGATTTCTTCTCTCCTTGTGAACTGCACTCAACAGGGAGTGTTTCTGGAAATGGCCGGCATTTGCCATAAATACCATGTCTTAAGGCTTGCACTTAATGGGGTAGGACCAAAGAAGACCTCCAGACTGATCATCAAGGACCTGCTTTTTGATGGTGTGCCAGTGAGGGTGTACTGGCCCAATGCGACAACCACTGGGACCAGAAGGGGAATGGTCTATCTCCATGGAGGAGTCGGCCTGATCGGAAGCATTTGTAAGTTATTTCAAAAGTGTCTAGAGCTTTGGGTGATATTGCCAAAGGTCTCCTCAGTTTGTGTGATATTTTAACATTAAGAACCCAGAAATGTTTGTGAGTTCCATGAATTCACATTGCAGGATGGAATCTGGTTTCCTAGAGGCAGCCAGTTGGTTGTGCAAAGAGAATTCTGCACTAGATGAACTCTTGCCGTGGTCCCACATGGACACCTTAATGTTCCCCACAGGAAATTCACTTGAGCCATCATACACTATTGATCATATTTTTATACCTCCCCACAGTGCACAGGGTATGCTGGGCAGTTTACAAGCACTAAAACACATATACAAACCATGAAATACCCAAAGTAAAACCGTAATACAATAAAAACAAGCACCACAAATATTAAGCTGTGAATATGTTTAACTATTATTAAAGTTAATCTCCCAGGAGAGCAGCAAGAATAAGGAATATTAAAATATATTTTTCCATTTTTAAGCAGTGTACAACAATAAAATACAAGACCAACATTACAATTCCTGGTTACAAAAGAAGCAAAGGAATAAACCCAACTGCACAAGATCTTAGAGACAACCGGTTGTTAAAGTCTGGTCTCAGAATGCCTGGACAGTCTTCACCTGGCCCTGAAATGAAAGCAGTGTCAGCACCTGGTGGCCCCCTGTAGGAAGTCCATTCCAAAGGTGGAGGGCAGCAGGGTCTTCTGCTGCAATGCCTTTACCATTTTAATTTCACTACAATCACACTACAAAAGAGTTCCACTACACTTTCTAGCCTCACAGTCAAGGAAAGGGCATCAGCCCTCATGCCACAAAGACTTGGCAAATGAACCAAGTCTGGACATGCACATGGTGGGCATGTTGTGAGCAGAGCCAGCTGGAGCCAGGGGTCAGACTAGATGGCCCAGGACGCCCCTTCCGGCTCACTCTGTTTCTATGTTTCTATGAACCTTCAGGAATTGTGGGCAACATTGAAGAGGAGGACTCAGGTTGGCTTGATTTTGATTTAACCAACTAACCAAGTAAGACTCCCTGACCTCTGTTAGTGATTAGGAGTAGGGATGTGTGTGGAATCTGTTTAAGGTTGGAGACCCATCCCAGGTTGCAGTCTGCTCTTGGTGGCCCTGAGTCTTGGGTCCTGGGGAGAGTACCCAGCCCTTGTGGGGTGCTCGCCAGGAATCCTGCACTGTGCAAGCGGCACCCATTTTATGTGCCCCATGTTGCCATCATCAGTTGCACCTGGCGTGGAGGAAGGTGAGCTGCCAGGAATGGCACCTCTCCTGGCTGCTTGCAGAACCCCCCCCCCTCCACGTCCACTCTTTGGGTGGCTGCAGGTGATGGGGAAGGTTGCCCCTCGTGCAACTTGGAGAGACAAGCACCTGCAGGCATCCTCTTCGCCAGGCTTGCTTTGAGGGCCAGGCTGAGCAAGTCCATGGATGCCAGAGGGACAGTTCTGAAAGGTCTGCTCCAGAACTAATTAAGAGATAGCAAAATTCATGCTATCACATCACCCCGGTTTCCTTAGCCATAAGAAAAGGTACAACAGTTAACTCGGAACGTAAGATAGTTCAGCCAGTGCCTGGGAGCTGCTGTTGCACCGATGCCCAAGCATATCACTTGGGCAATCTTGGGTGCCACCACATTGACCGTCTGAATCTGGGTGGTCACAGACTTCCGTGCCACCACTGTAGATATTGCCCTGATCTGGAACAAAAGCGTGCAAATTAGTGGATCTCCAACTCTCATTCAGCCAATGTTCTCTCACTGACTGGCACTTGGTAAGAGCAGTCCTGCTAGAAGAAGACACCCCACTGTCATCTCAGGATCACTAAAGATGCCTCTGTGATGCAGGTGGGACATAGGCTGAGAATCAGGCAAGGAACAAGAACCCTTTCTGCTCCTTTGTCATCATTGGCCAGTCTGTGAGCTGTGCAGGTGGTTCTCCACATGGCCAGCTGGAGCCGTGGTAGTGCTGAAACAAAACGATGTGGGGTTTTGTTGATGAACTACCAAGAGTAGAAGACCCTTCAATGCTTCTCTGGTCCAGCATTCTGCTCCTGGAGTGGCCAGCTGGATGCTCCAATGGGCAGCCAACAAACGTCACATGGATGCAACAGCCCTGTCCTTGTAGGGTGCCCCCGACGCCAGCATAAGACATGTAGCCCCACTGGTGCAAGAAATTCATAATCACGCGTTGCCACCATGCATTGCTTTATCCTCTTTGAACTCAATAATCCACTTCTAAGTCCGTCCAATGCAAATCAGTTTGGGGGTTGAAGATCTCATTCAGTTTTGCTTAGGAAATGGTTCTGCAAGCCAGAACGTTGTCTCCATTGGAAAGGAGAAGAAAACAAACCAAAACCAAAGTCTCTTGTGTTTTTCAGACGCTTATCAAAGAGTGTGCCGCTACATTGCCCGGAAAAGCGATACTGTGGTCATTTGTGTTGGGTAAGTGCTTCCATGCAGGTTGCATCATGAAGGAAAACAGTGGGGCCGGCAGCTAGGAGCAAGGCAAGCGTACCTGTCAATTTGCATTTGCAAAAGTATTTTGGAAAAGGGCACCTGATCAATGTCCTCAGAACCTTCTCCTCTCTAACAGCAGTGCTCTCTGTATGCTGAGAAGGTCTTTGTGCACACCAGGCAGGTAGATGAAAAGAGAGATTCTTTCCATTTTTAATAGGGGTTTCCCCAAATCCATCCCATGCCTCCCAAGCAGAAGGAAAAGAATTTAAAATGTCTAAGAAATATTTGAATGGGGGAGAAAGGGAAAGAATTGCCTGTTCTTAGAAACGGATGGATTTGAGACCGAGAGAGATCGCTGAAGAAAGTGAGAAATTCTGAAAGATTTTTTCGAAGGTTGATGGGAGAGAGAGCGAGTGAGGGAGAGAGAGAGAATACTATATATTTCACATATTAGCACCTGAAAGTACTGAGAGTTCAACACTGAAAAGCCAGTATTCCCAAATAGAGATGCTAGGAACATTTAGAACATGCTGTGGAACATTTTTGTGGGGGCGGGGGGAGTGCGATGAAAACCACAAAACGGGGTGTGACTTTCAGAACTCTTGGAATTGGTCTCCAGCTCAGATTAAAAGCATCCCACATTCTGGGGGCACTGGAATCCCCTTAGTTCACATCTGTACTTGAAGTTACACACAGGGAGTCCCACAGACTCGTCCTTCTAGTCCAAAAAGTACTCTAACATCAGTGCTTCTTACTCGCACCATCCCCGCATGACCCAAAACATGCCCAGGGCCTGAAGTGCCAGTCTAGTCTCCATGAGAATAGTTCTGCGGTTTGTACCCCAAATGGTAGGGCCCCAAAATAAAGGAAGGAAAGAAAGTTCAGTAAAGATTGTCTGGATCTTTCTTGAAAGATTTTTCACTATAACTTCCAGCAACAGAATTCCAGCAAATCCATTGAAGGGCAACTTTTCCATTTTTAAAGCAAGAAGGCCAAACTATTATTGTACATAGAAAAAATTAATAAGCTAAGTGCAGCTATGCGCATTTTATTATTTTGCATAGCCTTGGAAATGATTAAACCTTAAATTGAGAGGCAATAGCCACTCTTTCATCAAATGAACAATGGCGTTTTCATAGCCAGCATTTTTCCTGCCGGAGGCAAGAAAATGACCCAAGAAGAGACTAACACTAGTTGATGTTCATGTAGGGTGAAGGTTAAGATCCTTCACCCCTGCCAACACATCTGGAATTGGAGGAGGGTGCGTGGAAAGATGGAAAAAATTTCCTAATATTCTATATTTTATGACCTAAACTAGGCTAGAGGGGAATCATCATGGATTTCCCTGTAGCATATTCGTGTGTACATACTGTCCCTGTGGAATTCTAATTCCAATGAAATTATTCTCTGTTTAAGACCATAACCTTCTAAGCAATGTAGTGCTAAAATTATTAGATATGAAGCACAGTGTACAGAGCACATTTAACTATTGGACAAAAGTCAAAAGACATTGTGAAGTGGTTTTATTTATATGTTTTGTTTATTTATTGCATTTGCATGCTGCTCCATAGCCAAAGGCTTTCTGGTTGGCTCACAGTACAATAGAGATAAAATACAACTAAAAATAAATAAGAATAGCAAACCAAAACTCATAAACAAATACAATATAAATACAACAAATACATAGAACAGAAGAAAATAAACACAATAACCCATTAACAGCAGGCAATAAAACAATAAGCCAGCAGCAAAACAAATCCAATCTAAAAACAAATACTAAATAAAAAAGTGGCATTCTTTAACAATGCTCTTGTATTTAAATAGATTTTCCTATCTGATGGAAACCTTGATGCTGGGAATGATTGACGGCAAAAGGAGAAGGGGATGGCAGAGGTTGAGGTGGCTGGATGGGGTCTCTGGGATGGGGGGCCTGGGTTGGGTGGGCTCCGGGGGATGGTGGAGGACAGGAAGGCCTGGAGGAATGTTGTCCATGGGGTCACAAAGAGTTGGCCATGACTTTGTGACTGAACAACAACAATCTGATGGAAGGGCATTCCTGAGAAGGTAGGAGATGCAAGGAAAAAGTGTCACGGGTGTATCTTGATGAACTAGGAGAGTGGTAGCTGAAGACCAAATACTCTGAGGCAGGGCTTGGAAAGAATAAGGAAAAGAAAGAGGAATGGCATGAAATGCATTGGAGACGGAGAGCGGCAGGAATTAAGAGCGTGTGTGAGAGAGTGACCCCTGCAGGACACACGTGGGAAGCACCCTTATCCTTCCACACACGCTTGGGCCGTTCTTAAAGGGTCGCACAGTAAAAGCAGCAGAAGAGAAATGTGGAGGATTTCATCCCATGGTGGGCACGTCTAATTTTATCGGTGTGCTGCTCCGCCGTTTGCGAGCATGCCTATTACACCTTCAAGTTAAAAAATAGCAGAAATACCAATGCAGCATCCCACCCAAACCCAATAAAAAGCAAGAAAATGATGTCATGCGTTAATGGATTGAGCGAAGTAAATATTAAATTTGCTCTCCTTGTCTGTGCAGTATATTTTACTTTTAGCTTATTCGTATGTTAGCTTATCCTGACATAAAAGGAAAAATAAATTTTATTTATTTAATACATTGCTATACCAGCACATTAGCCGAGAGGGCTCTCTGAGTAGTTTACAGTTACAATACATTAAAAAAATAAAATAGATTTCAAACTTTTAAAGAATGAAACGTCATAAAAAATCAATACAACGATGGGTTTGGTGACAACAATATAAAATAACTCTAGCAGTGAGGAGGTCTTAATAGCACAGTTAAAACTGTTATTCATTAAAGGCATTTATTGAATAAAAAATATTTGCCTGGTACTGAAAGGACAGCAAGGGAGGCACCAACTGAGATAATAATATGAATGGAACAGAAGTGGAGTTGGAAGGGACCTGTAAGGCCTCTGAGCCCAACTTCCTGCTCCATTTTCTCGTGGGGTCACCCATCCAGCTGCAGACCTGCACTTTTCATGCTTAGCGAGGATGCCTGGGCCTGCTGGTTCAAGGCATAACTGTGCAGGCAGGATGAAGCTGCACTGATCAGGACATGGGTTGTTTGGATCAAAAACGCAATTGTTAAAGCTGCTAACCTTCCAAAAATGTTATGGAAAGAGTATTAAGTATGGGAAGAGTTTCATTGTTCAACCAAACGTTCACTTGCCATGGGAGACAGAGTGAAGCATTTTGGCATTCTTTCCTGTTGCTTTAGATTCCGATTAGCCCCCGAGCATCCCTGCCCTGCCCAGCTAAATGATTGCATAACTGCTACAATATACTTCTTGAAGAATGCGGAGGACTACGGCGTGGACCCCAAGCGCATCGTCATTGGTGGGGACAGCAGCGGGGGCACGCTTGCCACGGTGGTTGCACAACATCTGGTGTTCAGGAGGGCTCTCCCACGCGTGCGAGCCCAGGCTCTCTTCTACCCGTTCCTCCAGGCTGTGGACTTCAATTTGCCTTCCTACCAGCAGAACCAATCTGTTCCAACCTTGCTGAAGAAGCGAGCTATCAGGCTTGGTTTGGATTACTACAACAAGAAGATTAAAGATATGGATGGCATTATGAGGAATGCCCACGTTCCTGAGTACATATGGGTGAAATGCAAGAAATGGATCAGTGCTGATAACATCCCAGAAGAATTTAAAGCTAGGGGCTATGTGCCACAGGTACCTGCTCCATTTTCAGAAAAACTTTATGAAATGTACAAGGAAGTATTTGATCCTATATTTTCCCCACTCCTAGCAGAAGACTGTGTTATCCGCCAGCTCCCCGAGACGTTCATTTTAACCTGCGAGTACGACATTGTAAGGGACGATGGATTGTTGTACAAGAAACGGCTTGAGGACAACGGTGTGCCTGTGACATGGAATCACGACCACGAGGGCTTCCATGGAATATTATTTGGAATTGATTATGGAAGACTTGAATTTCCAGGGGCAAGAAGGAATCTAGAGAAGTTCACTCTTTTTCTGCAAAAGTTATAAATACCCTCATTTTCTCTGTAGTGCAAGATGTACACTCGTACAAGGAATATGTCTTCCATGTGAGCAAAAGGAAACCGGCTTTTCCAAAGTATTCCAAGTAGAGAAAGGGCAACATTCTCAAAATTGGGAAGAGGGAAAGTAAAACCTGTGTATTTCATCAGTCATGCAATCGAACAAAAAGGTAGTCCAGGTCCTTCTGCCTTTCGTTCCAACTCCCCCTTGAAGACACCTCCTGCAAGGTTGCATTTGAAATATCCTTTACCAGAAGGAACATGTGTTGATGTAGGTCATAATAATGTCTGTGAATTTAAATGTAAATTTAAAAAAAAAAAATCTCGGAGTTTGGGATGAACTTAAGGCTGGAGAACTTCTTCACATTCAAGAAAAGCAAAGCTAAAGTATGAGAAAATGAAACTGATATTGAATCCTTTCCTGGTCCCCAGCAGTCCATCTCCAAGTACGGTCTTATGACTTTGGAGCCACATCTGTCATGGTTCCTTCTGCATCAGCTTTGGGACACAGAAAGGACTCTCTGAATCAGAATCCCAGCTCCAACCTTGCAGCACATTCCATAGAATACTAGAATCATAAAATAGTAGGGCTAGAAGGGGCCAAGAAGGCCATCAGGTCCAGCCCCCTGCTCAGTGCAGGGCTCCGGGTTCAAGCATCCCTCCCAGAGGGCTGTCCAAGCACACCTCAAAGGCCGCTAGTGTGGGAGACCCCACAAACACCTCAGTAACTGCCATACTGCTCCAAGAATCTGGAATTTCTTCCTGATGTCCAGATTGAACCTGGCTCCCTCTAGTTTAAGCTCACTGTTCTGTGTGCTGCACTCTGGGATGATGAAGAAGAGATCCTGTCCTTACGTTTTGTGGCAGCCTTTCTGATACTTGTAGAGCACTTCCCTCGGCCTTCTCTTCTCAAGGCCAGACACGTCCGGGTCTTTCGATCTCTCCTCACAGGGTTCTGCTTCCAGCCTCTTGGTCATCCTCCTCTGAATCCTTGTCCAGCATGTCTCTATCTCTGTTGAACTGTGGTGCCCAGAACTGGATGCAGGACTCCAGGTGAGGCCTAAGCAGATGAGTCCTCGTTTAGACTCCTGTCGAAGCCCCAGCTGCATTGTGGAATATGGAGATGCCTTGTCCAAGGGCCCTCTTCCCTCCAGCAGAGCCTGTTCAGCTCCTAAGCTGAGAGCAATCAAGGAAGAGGGGAGAGCGCTGGACTTTGGGAGGAGGAGGAGACCTCGTGTTGAGTTCGGCACCGTCCCACAGAACTTTTCAAGGGGTTTGTAGCCTTTTATAATCCGGGCCAGGAAAAGAAACCTGTTGAACCCACAGTAGCTCTCTGTGATGAATTCACAGAGCGCTTTGAAGATGGAGTCACTTGGATTCACCACACATTGGACACCACGTTTGATGCAGTTCTATCCAGAGCACGTCTGGTCCAGCTTTTCTGGATGAGTTTCAGTTATTGCGGCCTGAGGATGTGGACGAGATGCTTGGTCAAGTTTGGCCTACCACCTACATGCTCATCCCTTGCCCATCGTGGTTAATAGGAAGTATAAGGAAGGGATTTGAGCCTGGGTCCAGGAGGGGTGCCAGCCTCCTTAAAGGAGATTATGATTAAGCTGCTCCTAAATAACAAGCCGAACCTGGACCCACTGGATGCAAATAATTATAGACCAATGGGCAATAGTTCCTTCCTGGACAAGGTGTTTGAGCGGGTGGTGGCTGGACAGCTCCAAGCACTCTTGGATGAAATGGTCTAGACAGACCATCAGGGGTCTCAAACTCCACTTACCTAGGGGCCGCTGGAAGTAGAGTCTGGGTGAGGCTGGGCCGCATCAAGTATTCCACCACCACGGTGGTGGTGGGCCGCTCATCCCGTGTCGCTCCTGGAGGCCGGCCTGGGTGCCGCCGGCGCTTTGAAGGCTGCAGGACCCCTTCCCCATGCCCTGCCCAGCCGGGCAATTGGCCCACAGGCCACGAGTTTGAGACCCTTGGTCTAGATCCATTTCACTCAGGCTATAGATCTGGTTCTGGAATGGAAACCGCCTTGGTCGCCCTGTGAGATGACCTTTCCCTGGAAAGAGACGGGGGGAATGTGACCCTGTTGATTCTCCTGGACCTCTCAGAGGCTTTTGATACCATTGACCGTGGGTGTCCTTCTGGATCGGTTGGTTTGGGTTAGGAGTAGGAGGTCCTGTGTTGCAGTGGTCCCTCTTCTACCTGACTGACTGATTCCAGAAGGTGGTGCTGGGCAGTTACTGCTTTGCCATGTCGTTTCACGGGGCTCTATTCGATCCCCCATGCTATTTAACATCTACATGAAACCACTGGGGGAGGTCATCCAGAAGGGTGGGCTGAAGTGTCACCAATATGTGGATGAACCTCAGCTCTCCCTCTCCTCTCCTCAAGCCCAGATGAGGCAGTGGCCATCCTGAATCCACAGCTAGGCTCAAGTAATGGACTGGATAAGAGCCTCAGTCGAGACAAGATGGAGGTGCAGTTGGTGGGGGGTCCATCTGTCCTGCTGGGAGATGTTCAACCTGTCCTGGAGGGGTTACACTCCCCCTAAAGGACAAGGTTCCTAGTTTGGGGGTGCTCCTGCATCCTGATCCTGGATCTGGCACAGAGCTTAGGCTGGTCTACCAACGGGGCCCCTACCTGGGAGCAGAGATCCATGCTTTGGATTACTGTAATGCGCTCTACATGGGGCTGCCTTTGGAAATGGTCTGGAAGCTTCCACTGGTCCAAACAGGGCAGCTTGACTGTTGATGGGGACTGACTCACAAGAACATACTTCTCCAGTCCTCTTCCAGCTGCACTGGCTGCCGGTTGAAGTCCAGGCCTGATTCAAAGAGCATTTACTGATTTTTAGAGCCCTACGCAACTTGGGGACAGGTTAGCTGAAGGTACGTCTTTTCCTGTATGTATCTGCCTGGGCCTTAAGATCATCCTTTGGAGTACTTCTCAAGGAGTGCCCCCTATGGAGGTAAGGGGGTAAACAACTAGGAGAAGGGCCCTTTTGATTGTTGCAGCCCATCCTTGGGCTAAGTTCCCTATAGACGTTTGCCTGGTACCTACTCTTACTTCCTTGCAGTGCCAAGTGAAAAACTTAATTTTCAATAGGTTTTTATTAGCTGCTGCTGCTGCTGCTGCTAGACTTGCATACCAATTTGATTAGTTGTCCTGGGGTTGTTTTTATTATTGCTGCTTATTGGCAGTTGTTACTGGTTTTATTGTGATATTCTTATGTTTATCTTTGCTTATGTGTGTTAACAAAACTCAAATACTTTGGCCACCTAATGAGCAGGAAGGACTTGCTGGAGAAGAGCCTGATGCTGGGAAGGATTGGCGACAAAAGGGGAAGGGACGGCAGGGGATGGGGTGGCTGGATGGAGCCTCTGGGGCGGTGGGTGTGGGTTGGGGGGACTCCGAGGGATGGAGTGAATTAATGCACGTGAAGAAGGGTTGAATTTTGCATTTAAATCTGGGTTGGGGAACCAGGTGCTGTGGGCCTAACCTTATATTCCCTTTCATCATGTGGCACAGAGCGAGAAAGAACTATGCAGTGCTAGAAACCTGTCCTCCATCAGGTATGGCATCAGGTATCCTTACACGCCTGACTGCTCTTGAGAAGGCCAGATACTGAAGATGAAACTCAAATACTTTGGCCACCTTTTGAGAAGGAAGGACTCCCTGGAGAAGAGCCTGATGCTGGGAACGATTGACGGCAGAAGGAGAAGGGACCAGCAGAGGATGAGGTGGCTGGATGGGGTCACTGGGGCAGTTGGTGTGAGCTTGAGTGGACTCTAGGGAATGGTGGAGGACAGGAGGGCCTGGAGGAATGTAGTCTGTGGGGTCACGATGGGTCTGGCACAACTTTGCAACTAAACAATAACAACAATAAATGTGTTACCCTTGCAACTGCCCAGAAAGACTTTCTGGCTAGAGGGTGGGATATGCATGAAATAAAAAACCAGTGCTGAGTAGAGGGAACTAGTACTCCACAATGTGACTATTGGAATAAAAGGCACAGAAAAATGCACCCAAAAATGGACAGAAACATTACAAACCTCATGTAGTGGGAACACTGGAATTAGGCAATGTTGTGCACAGAATGGTGCATAGAGGGAGAAATGTGTGAAAAAAATGCACATACATTTCTGTGTGTGTGCAAGCAGAGAGAGAGAAAAAAAAAAGTTAAATACATTTAAAGAAGAAAATCACAAGCAAGAGCAGAAGCGGGTTTAGTGGACTGAGTTCTGGAAAAATGAGAAACTGACAAATTCCTCGCTTTCTTTCTTGGGTATATCTTACTGCTGGGCAGGGGCGATGAAAAGCATGGATCTCTCTGGGGACTGATTTGGACTTTTCAGTCAAGTGGGTCTATGAAAATGCGGGGGGGGGGGGGGAGAGTTTTCTGGCTGTCAAGGACAAACACCGGTTGGTTCAAGTGTATGAAATTCTGCAAATTCTGGCTCTGTAAACAATCCCTGCAATAAAGATAGATGTGACTGCTTAATCCCATTTCTGAATTCTGTCTTCATTCTTGGTGGTATGGATGCTGTACTGTGCAGTATCATGTTTTACAAGCAGCATAAACATCTCCAATCTAGCGCTGAGGCCGCAGTCATTCCAGCCAGGTATTGAAGATACCCATGACCACAGACACATGCAGTGAGCAGAAGAAGCCATTCAGCTCAGCACGTCGTGTGAAGGATTTTCCAATTTCACTCAGCCTTAAAACTGATGGAGAATTGTGGTTGTTAAGGGTCACACCTTTAACTGTGGCATCATTTGGGCAATATGTTTATTGCATCTCTCTCTCTCTCTCTGTGTGTGTGTGTGTGTGATTTCTTATGTATACATGTATTTATTGGCTGCCTATGACTGCCGGTGCCTTCCTATGCATATAAACTGGGAGAGCCAGTGTGGTGTAGCGGTTAAAAGCAGGCGAGTGGAACCCAGGAGATACGGGTTCTAGTCCCTGCTCAGCCGTGGAGCCAACCGCTCTACATCAATCGCTCCTCTCATCCAAAGGGATGGAAGGTCTACTCTTCTCTGAAGAAGCTGCAGGTAGAAGAAAATAGGCTTAAATAACTCAAAACTCCCTCAAGAAATTATCTCAGAGATAATTTCACAGAGACCACAGTGGAAGACTCCAACCCAGTACTTCCCCCTTCTCACTTTCAAAACAACAGATGGCTCTTTGGCAAAAGCTCTTTATTCTCCAGTGTACATCCAGCAAACTAAAACCAGTAAAGGAAGAGTTTCTGAGCATGCGCAGAGCAGTGTGTTGGATCCAAACTAGAAACTACTTCTGAGAACTCTCCTAGTTGAGTAACCCTGGGCCCCACCACTCTGGGAGGGGCTCCTAGACGTGGTCAACCCTCTTGGCTGTACACTGCCCATCTAGCTGGCTAGCCCTTCTCTCCTGTTGTGCATCTTGGGGCCAAGGAACTTTCCAAGCTGGCCTGGCTCCTGAAACCCCTTCCCCATGCCCTCTCGTGGCAGTTGCAGGCTCTGGCTGTTCTCCAGGTCCGCCTGGATACCTGGAGAGGATGGCCTTGAGATAAGCCCTTCCACCGCTTCCATCTCCATATCCAGAGGCCTCATTTCCCAGGGCCCATCCTCACCACCTGAAGAGTCTGTGTCTCCCTAGCCCCAAAGCACACACCAAGATCAACCACCTCTTTCATTCCCAACACACCCAGGAAGAGAGGGAATCTGAAATCTCTCCCCTTCTGAAGCGACAGTGGGAAGGAAAAACCTGCCACCCCAAACAAAGAAAACTGTATTTCGTATGGGGACAAACTTTCCTCATCTGGGTGCCGTCCAAATCATCTCCATGACTGTGGATGCTGGGAGCTGTGCTACAAAATCTGGAGGGCACTAGATTGGGGAAAGGTGGATTAGCATCTCTCTCTCTCTCTCTCTCTCTCTCTCTCTCTCTCTCTCTCTGTGATTAAGTTTTGTAAAATACTCTCCAATTAACTGGATGGTCCTTTTATGCTAATCAAAAAGCAAACCTGTTCACTACTTTATCACCATTGGCCTAAATAAACAACAGATCTATTGCATCAGTCGAAAGAGATCTATAACCTTCTGAGGTAGTTAAGCACAGTGTCCATCCCTGTTCTGCAACATGAAAATGTTAGCAACCAATGATTAATTAAAAAGAAAAATCCATGGAAACCGTCCTCCAGGTGGCACCAGGACACAGCGACACCGTTGTCTTCTAATCGTTTCTTGTACAAGATTGCGTCGTCTCTCAAAACATCGTACTGACAAGTTAAGAGGAAAGTCTCTGGGAGCTGCTGGATGCTCTCGTCTTCAACTAAAAGTGGGGAGAGCAGAGGGCCACACAGTTGTTCTATGATATCCCGGATCTCACCAAAAGAAGGCCTGGGTTTCGGAGCCTTGACTTTCCTTACCTTGAATTCCTTGGGTATATTATCAGGGTTTATCAAGTTCCTGTACTTCATTTTTATTTCACGGGGGACGTGGGCCCCATCCAAGATAGCCTGCTCTAAGGAGACATTTTTCTGGAGATATTGCAACGCAAATTTCACCGTGTGCCTTTGAGTCAAGGGGGGCACGTGAGCATTTTGCCTGTATGAAGGCAAACTATAATTCACGGACTGAAGAAAAGGGTAAATCAGCACCTGAGCACGCAATCTGGGGATGTCGTTTCTCTGTGAAATCATTTGGCAAACGGAAGCGGCAAGCAAGCCCCCAAAGCTGTCTCCAGAAATTATGATGCGGTTAGGATCCACGCCATAATCTTCCGCGTGTTTCAAAAAATGTACGGCAACATCAAAACATTGTTGGAATTGCACCGGATACGATTGTTCAGGAGCTAGGCTATACCTGTGGAATCAAGAAACTTTTTTTGGCAAACTTGTCCTGCTTCATTTGTTGGTAAAACAAGACAATATCCCAGTGCAAAATAGGCTTAAGTCTAAGATATGAGACTGCAGTCTTGGCTTGCAAAAAGCAAGTGATGCATCTAAATCTCTCCTCCTTTGAATTTGTCCCCAGGTTGTTTTAAGTTTGGGGTTTGTGGGTCTGGTTTCTGAATTAAGAATGCTGCATTAAACATCCTCCTTTCCTCTGGACTTTCAGTTCCCTTGTGTCCATTTCTGGGAAGATATCGGTATGAGAAAGTGGCCAAGATTTTTATCGTCCAAACGGTCATAGGAAAAAAAGGGCTCTTTACAGAATTTTCTCCAGATCCCCCCTTTCCATTTTTAGTGTGGTTCCCACAATCCCAGTCTTTGTGCATATATACAACCCCTACCCTCCAGATGAAGAACAACAAGGGGTCATCATAGAGAATGAGAGATTGGTTAGAAAATCTGTATAGAATAATGATCCTTATAATCACTGCTTTTTTTGTAAAAACAAAACAAAGAAACGGTGCCAGAACTCACCTCTTGGGGTCACACTTTTACACTAAAAGAGACTTTCAATTCACCAACTTTTTTTGAAATAAAGAACTTATTTACCTTTTGCACATAGCCAGTCACTCTACACACAGATAAACACAATGGTCGCCGCCGGCAGTAAGCACTCAGCGCGCGACCACACGACCGATCCCAAGCCGAGCAGCGTCCCGAGCCGAGCAGCGCCCTCACAATCAGCGCGGACACACACGCAGTCCACAGGCACTATGTTAATGCTTTTTGCTGCCGACCAGCTACACCCAACAGGGCAATTCACAATCACATGGAAAAATCCGTCAAAAAAAGCTGCCGGAACGCTGTTCCGGTGCGTTCTATGACAAAAAATGCCTTGCTTATAATGGTCTTTTTTGCACTCCTACAGAGCATGGGAAAATAGGAAGGGAGTTGGTTCTGGGGGCTGCGGTATACGGGTTGTGCTTGCTAGTAATTCCCTCGGTTTATTTTGTTCACTTTATTTTGTTCTGTTAATGCTAGTTTTTCTCTTCTTCTGTATTTTTTCTTCTATGTAATTGTAATTAATTTTTTTTAAAAGGGAATGAGACAGAGTGCCCGCAGAGTTGCTTTCGCTGCTGCAGCTGCCGTGGAAAGGAAGGACTGTTAGGAAAAGAGAAATAGACTGGGCAGTTCTTGTGGCTGATCTTGCTCTCTGCCCTCAAGACGATGTTCGGTCATTTTGATGCTCCTAGAGAAATTCAGTGAAATTATTCCCTGGCTCCCCAAAGATAGCGTGGGGAATTTGGAGAAGCCAAGTGTGTCCAGAGGGTTGGATGCATTTTGGGCAGAGGTTCACCAGTACATAAGTGCTGATTTTAAAAAATAGTGCTGAGAAACAGTCTTGGTTCAGCCATGTATATGAAGACTAGCTGATTTTATCTCCATAAGAAATTCTAATTCTTTGGGAAAGTAAGCAAGGATGCCTCTGCTGTGCAGGATGCAGGGAAATCTTGGGCATTTCTACTGAGTAATCAGCCTCTCTTTGACTCACAGGCCAGTGCGGCATATGAGGGAATGCAAGGCTGTTCCTCTCCCCACCCCTTTGCTTTTAGGGGGAGAATTAGAAGGAACATGGATGCTGGGTTGAATCAGTAGCATCGCTTAACCTGCATTTTGTTTTGCAGAGACTGACCAATCCCAACGAGAAGCTCACAGATGTGGCAGGAACACATATTTGTGCTCCCAGATTAATTTAATTCTGGCTAGTTATACGGTCCCTTGGACCACAAGGAGATCAAACCGGTCAGTGCTAGAGGAGATCAACCCTGACTGCTCTTTAGAAGGCCAGATGCGGAAGATGAAACTCAAATACTTTGGCCACCTAATGAGAAGGAAGGACTCCCTGGAGAAGAGCCTAATGCTGGGAACCATAGATGGCAAAAGAAGAAGGGGACGGCAGAGGATGAGGTGGCTGGATGGGGTCACTGGGGTGGTGGGTGTGGGGTTGGGTGGACTCTGGGGGATGGTGGAGGACAGGAAGGCCTGGAGGAATGTGTCCATGGGGTCACGATGGGTCAGACGTGACTTCACAACTAACAACAAGTTATACAGTGCTTTCCATTTAAAAAAAAAATCCCCCATTTCAAGAACTCCCAGTAACTGGTACACACAGACATGTACCCTCTAACAGCGGAGATAATTAGTAGTAACTGGTAACTAGTGTCTTTAAGCTCCATGAATTTATCTTATCCCCTTTTCAAGCCATTTGGACAAATGGCCATCACACTATTTTGTGGAAGCAAAGTTCTCCTGGAGACTGTTGGATTTTCCGGCTTAAGCTCATTCTGTCTGCTTTGCATATGTGTGTGAGTTTGAAAGACAGTTTCCACAGAAATTCCCACTTATGGGTCTGTATGTGTGTCTTTAGCAAATGCACATATTTCTGTGTATTTTTCTAATGCACATTTTCCCCAGGTATCTTAGACTAATGTGTGGTTTTCTCTAATAAACACATTTTGTGATCACTTTCCACTGACAGGCATATATTTTGAAGCTCTCTTATTGGCTCTGAAGGGATAAAAACAGTAAATTCACATTAAAATTTCAGCAGAACTAACCTATCACTCCTCTTATCCAGCTGGCCACTGTGGGAAACAGGACACTGGGGAAAATAAAGATTGGGACGAGCTATGTTTTAGGGTTCACTTACCCAATGGACCAAACCACTGAATCAGTCTCTCTGGAAATATGGCGGCATAATCGCTCATAGGATACTGGAAAGAAAAGAAGTCCCATGAAAGAACAATGTTACTGAATAGGATACCTGAAGGAACATCTCCTTCCTTATATGTCCTCACACCTCGTAGGATCTGTGGGAGAAGCCCTGCTCCAGGAACACTCTCTAAGAGGTAAAAAGGTCATCAACTAGGAGCAGGGCCTTCTCTGCTGTGGCCCCCAGACTCTGGAATGTACTTCCCAGAGAGGTACGCCTGGCACCGAGCTTATACTCTTTTCGGTGCTAGGTCAAAACCTTTTTATTTAAACAGTATTTAAAAATTAGCAACTTTTAATGTTCAGTCGCTCTTGTTTTGTGATTTACTGTTTATTTTTATATCAATTATTATTGTTCTAATTCATCTCATGGAAGTTGTTTTAAATTGTAAGCGGTTCTGAGATATTTATATAGTAGGACAGCATATAAAAGCTTTTAATAAATAAATAAATAAATAAATATTACTGATCAGCGATGCTGTGCTTTCAAAGTCCTTCACGAGTCACCTGACTGATGGCTTTGGAAGGCAATGGCGAGGCCCTATTGCAGGTGACGTCGCTGAGGCTTTGCATCAGGTATTATTATATCAGTATTATATCAGCCTTTAGGACTGGTGACCCCATGACGTAGGGTGACCTTCTGCATGAAAGCTCTCCAGGATGTCCCGTCCATGACAGCCCTGACCAGCTCTTGCAAATATGCAGGAGTGAGTTCCCTGGAATTCATATGAGATTCCTTTCAAACGAGAAGTGGAGTGATGAATGAACGAAGGAGTCATGACTATACTAATTTGGTGGGGGTGACTTCTGCGTAGAAATGGATGTGCTTTCACCACATTTGCTGTGTTCTGCTTCTATTGATTTGGGCATTAATTGGTTTTTGGATCAGAGGAAACATTTGGAATTTGGAAAGAATGGCACGGGTGGTGTCACAAAATGGCTGCCATGATGGGCATGCCCGATCACAAAACACTCATTTCTCAGAAAGCAAACTAAAAGAAAAGTAACTTCCTCCAGAAGCCATGAACAAGGCCAAGGAGCTGTGTGAACTCCAAAATAAAAAGTTGTTATTTTGAACCCAAATTAATGATGGTTCTGGAAGGGCAGGGCTTCGGTTTGTAGGTCAAGCGGTATGATCAATTAACATAGCCTGAGAAATGAGACTACAAAATCCAGGTGGGTCAGTGAGCCTGGAGAATATTGTCATGGAAGCATGATGGATGCCTCCATACTAATGTATGGACACAAGAATGAGGATCCTAGAAGAGAAGTCCAAAATCAAGCCCTTCAGAAAATTTTATTTATTTATTTATTTATTTATTTAGTAAAACATTTTTATGCCGCCCCATTCGCCAAAGCCTCGGGGCGGCTTATAACACTAAGTTAAAATAATTATAATATAAATTAAAAATATAAACATTAAATTAAAAATACAAAAATACAGTATAAAATAAGCCGCCCTGGCCAGATAAAATCCAATAATATTAACAGTTAAAATGCCGCTTGAATAAAAAGGTCTTCGCCTGGCGCTGAAAAACAAATAACGACAGCGCCAGGCGGACCTCTCTGGGGAGCGCGTTCCATAACTTAGGCGCCACCGCTGAGAAAGCCCTCCTCCGAGTAGCCACTCTCCTAATTTCTTTCACAGTTTCACAGAAGCAATTTCAGTTGCTTCGTAACTGGATCTTAAATGTAAGGCAGCATTCTTAACCCATTGCTAAGTTTCTTGCTTCGTAGCTTATATAAAGAAATTATCCCGTGCCTGATAAGGAGGTGAGGCAAGAGCAGTCTTGCAGGTAATTTTCTGCATGAGCTGGAGTTAACAACTCCATTGTTGTCCAGGGCGACTTAATTTATACTGTTAATTTATATTATTTTATGGAAGTGTATTTATGGATGTGAGCCGCCCCGACGCTTCGACAAATGGGGCGGCATAGAAGTCTCCTAAATAAATAAATTGTGGGTGTGACGCCAACAAGGAATTTGGTGACGACAGTGTTTTTCCAGTTTGGTGTTGGGCCAGGTAATGCCTCTCAGCCAAACCTACTGTTCTGTGTTGCTGTTGTTGTGAGGACAAAATGGAGTGGAGGAGGACTAAGCAAGCTGCTTTAGGTTGCTTGCAAGAGGGAAATAAGTGAGGTGTAATTTCCTCCTCCTCCTCCTCCTCCTCCTCCTCCTGTTTTCTGATCTCTGTCCCTCAACCTGCATATTGCATCCTAAAGCTCAGCTCTGCTAGCTGGCCTCTGTTTGTTTCAGGGAATTTTAGCACACCTCTGGCTGATCAAGGTCCTTGAGTCCTGACACAAGGAAAGAGATGCCCTCAAAGGCTAGACGGGAGTGAGCAACAGAAACTACCAACAGGGATTATACAAGAATTTAATCATGAAACTCGATTCATTTGAACCCTCATCCCTGCCAAAAAAGAGTTAAACATAAATGCTATTGTGTAGAATAAATGAATCCCACTATGTCCAGACTGTTTTCTCAGTTTTACTTCCTGTGCAACGAAAGGACCATGTTTGGAAGAACCGTCTTTGAAAGGCTCTCCCCTGTGCTCCTTACCGAGGCTCCCCAAGGTGCCGGCTCCTCCATGGATGAAAAGGACCCCCCGTTGGGTGTCCTGCGATGCTTTGGGCTGGTAAAACCGCACTGGAATGCCTGCAATGTGGAGAGACCGGATGGAGAGTCTGGCATCTTTGGAAGGGAAGTTCGCGTTCTCTATTAATTTCAAAAAGCTGCACTGATTGCAGAGTCCTAGTTTTGAAAGACAATAGTCCTGTTTGAGATGGGAGAAAGAACAGCTATTGAGAATGTGTAGTCTGAAGCTCCTTTGTCCCGACAGGTTATTATTTATTTGAAGGATGGATTTCAATGCCATCCAGTAGCTGAAGCTCTCTGGATGATGAACAACAGGTATCAATACGTTAACATACTGCATAGAGTAAAATAACAATAACACACCATAAAATCAGATTTTAAAACCCCACATTTCTACAAGTGAAGAGTCTACCACCACAACCCTCCAAGTGCTGTTCGGAGTTGGCAAATGCTGCAGCAAAGAGGAAAGTCCTAACCTGCTGCTGAAAAGATAGCAAATTAGACACTACGCAGGCCTGGTGGGGAAAGCATTCCATAATTTAGGGGCTACCACCAAATAGGCCCTTCCCCTTGTTGCCACCAAGCAAGGTTCCCTTTCAGCTAGAGTTCAGAGGCTGAGCAAACTGTCTGAGTGCATTGTGGTTGGAGGAGCCACTCCATGTACCTTCAGGAAACTGAAGGTAATCCTCAATTTTGTTCAAAAGTAAAAGTTGGCTAAATTGCAGACCTACACCAGGAGGAAAAGATCAACAGCTGATTCTGCCTTAGAGTTCTGTGTGGCCTTAATTATGCATGGACTTCTTAGAGTACTACCATAACCTTTCTGTAAGGTGTCGGTCCAATCCAGCTGTTAATTCCCAGTTAGGGAAAAGTGGTGTGTATTAACCAACTGAAGAGGCATCTGATGAGCTGGAATCTAGTAAATGAATTAGTTAACAAGAGTCACAAAAGGAGATGGGGAGGGAAGGGGAGAGTCCATCCTTACAGACTGCAAAATACGATTGCTTCTTAAAACCACACCTGTTGAATAAATAACTTGCAAGTCATTCATAGAAAAACTGGTGACAATCCTACGAAAAGGCTCATGAGCCCCATCAAGAGCAAGCTGAAAAGCGCTGGAAACTGGAACGTGATCATCCTTGAATTGGTCAGAAGGCACATCATAAATCACTTTCAAATGTTGGTAGAAACTGCTGGTGGACTTGAATCAGGCCTTGTCAAGGAGCCATGGCCTTCACCAGTTTGAGGACAAAACCTGGGCAGGTTTTCTGGCCCTTGGAAGTCTGAACCAACATGAGAAAGTTTCAGATCCGTTCTTAGCCCAGCAAGCTTTCGAGAGCACTGAATGAATCTCCTTAGCTGAGAAGTATCTTCACTGCTTCCACAAGCACAAACATGTCTGAAGACGCTGTCTGACTGGAATGGAGACCCAGAGGGGAACAAAGAGAGCAGAAGAGAGCATTTCGTGCAACGGATGCCTCAAATCCTCCAGACGGGAGAAACGGTCACGAAAGTCTGCGGACAGCAAAACCAGAAGGGGAGGAGACGGTGGTCCGAAGTTAGCAAAGGCAACCGTCAATCAGAGAAGGGCCAGAGGGGTAGTCCCTTTCTCCATGATGCCTCTGCCCCAGTGGCATAATTGTTGCTTGGAGAGCAGACCTTGAGTAATGGGAGAGTCATACCATTGCGGTGCAACTCCTTGGACTTTGAGGCATGGCCAGGCCAGGAAAATCCACCCAGACGCGTTGTCTTTCTCCCCGGAGCAGCCCTCTGCTCTGACTTCCTACCACAAAACCACACTGCAAAGTGAAGGGGACTCACCAATTCAAACAGCAAAATCAGTCCAAAATATAAGCATCTCAGCTTGCGGGGTTCACAGATGCCATGAGGGAACTCCGCGGTGGAAAAGTAGTAGTGTGCAGCACATGCCACGTAGACGAGGGTGGACAAGGAGAGAAGTTCGGCTGCGATCACCGCGAGCGTCCACAGAACATCCATTCCACTCACAGAGCGGAACTGCAAAGCCAGAGTGCTGGGAAAGTGCTGGGAGTGGCCGCCGGCTCATTAAATCTGCTTAACCTATCAAGAAGCACTTCCCTTTCACAGCATTGCTTCCAGAAACAGACAATTATGAAACATTTGCTTCTGTTCTGTCAAACAGAAAGCATAAAAATTCAAGGATAGGCTGGACGTGCACATGGTGGGCATGTCGTGAGCGGAGCCGGCTGGAGCCAGGGATCAGACTAGATGGCCCAGGAGACCCCTTCTGACTCGCCCTGTTTCTATGTTTCTATGTTTCTAAATGCAAGGGGAGAAGCCAAAACATGGGGCAGGGGAAACGACAGTTTTTAAGACAGAATTATAAACAGATGTACTTAACCCTTATTTTTGCAGCCTTACTTTAATGTAAATACATTCCAGCACTTTTGTTAAGCATCTTGAGCCATGGTTACAGTTCTTGCCCCCACTTAACATAAAAAGAGACTACAAATAAAGAATTAGCAGAAAATGAAGAATATGCTAGAAAAGGAATAGTGTTATCTGTGCCAAAAGGCTATCTAGTTTCCTCTTGAGAGCCAACCCTAAGTTTCAATGTATAACCGCTTTCACGCTTAAGAAGTTTTTCCTGAAGTTCAGCTGCAATCTAATAAAAACATTATTATTATAAATGGCTTAGGGCCTGGTTACCTGAAGGAGTATCTCCTTCTGTATGTGCCTGTCCGTCCCTTAAGATCTAGGGCAGAGTCCCCTCTCCGGGAGCCGTCCCTGAAGGAGGTTATGAGGGTGACTACCCAGAGAAGGGCCTTCTCTGCAGTGGCACCCCGATTGTGGAATTCACTCCCCAGAGAGGTATTCCAGGAGCCATTTCTTTACTCTTTTCGGTGCCAGGCTAAAACCTTTTTATTTTCCTAATTTTAAGGTTTGATTGCCATTTCAATATGAGTTTTTTGTTTACTGGTTAAGAATTTGATTAAGATGCTGTGCTTTATGTTATATTATTTTTATTTTTGTCTTATTGTTAAACCACCCTGAGATTACAGTATAGGATGGTCTAAAAAGTTTAAATAAATGATAAAAATATTTTAAATATGTTCAGCAGTATATGAATCTTGTAAATAATAAAATTGATAATGGTGATGCATCCACCCCTCACTCTTTTCTTTTTAAAGCTAAACAGGTCCAATTTCTTCAGTCTTTCCTCATAGGACTTATTTTCCTAGTCTTCCGATCACCTTGAATGCAGTTCACCCAACCTGTTCCAGTTGGTCTGAATGTTTACTTACTTATTCCTCCTCCTCCATCAAGCAAGAAACTCGAGGCATAATCTTCCTGCTCTCCATTTATTCTCACAACAACCTTGTGAGGCAGGCTGGGCAGAGCGTCAGCAGCTGGCCCAAAGGCACCCAGCAAACCTCATGGCTGAATGGAGACTAGGTCCCGGGCCTTCCAAGTTCCCGTCCAGTGTTCTAACCAGGAGGCCACTTGGCAGTTCTTCTCATCCTACACTGGACATACAATCTGAGAGGAGGTCTGTCCATCACAGAGTACATTTGAACTATAATTTAGGACAATTTGGAAATGACGCTTCCGTTGCTGCAACCTGTAATTGCATTTGCTTTTTTTGTGGCCATATTTTTAACCTCTGACTACAACATCAAGTTCCTTTCACACATTCGATGGCCAGGCTGGTGTTCACCATCTTACATCTGTTCATTTTATGCTTTTTTCCTGAATGAAAAGTTTGCACTTGTCTCTGTTAAATGCTATTCTGTTATTTTCTGCCCAGCCTTCCAACCCAGCAAGACCATTTTGAAATTTTCTTCTGTCATCTAAAGGTGTTAAAGGAAGACACACAATTTCTTAGGATAATTTTTTCTCTACCCTGGGATTATTTGTTTGTTACAGCCCTCGAAAAAGAAGGTTATGGACACTTGGAACATTTTTCCCTGAATAACCTTCATGACTCACTTGATCATCTTCCAGGTAGGTCATGGTAAAACCGCCAAAATTCCACTTCCAGCTGCTGAGGGATGGGAGCATCCCTCACTCAGTAGAATCTGCTCGGACTGATTCATCTCATCTGGAAAAGGAGGCAGCACAGGGGTGAGAAAGAATTAAAGTTGCCCAGTGCTTATCCAGTGAAGCTTTTTAGGCAGTGTGAGATTCTGTCTGCCTTGGAATGGGAGAAAGCTTTTCCAGGGCAGGCAAGGGAGCAGATTTATTATTTATTTATTTAGAAAATGTCTATGCCGCCCCATTCGCCGAAGCCTCGGGGCGGCTCACAAATATATCAATTAAAATATTATACAATAAAAATATAAAACAAGTTAATAATATAAAATAAGTCACCCTGGCCAAAGAGTAAAATAAATAATCTTTTACATTGTTATTTATTTTATATTGTTAATTTTATATTGTTATTTTTGTATTTTATTGTATTTTATTGTGTTGTAAGCTGCCCCGAGGCTTCGGCAAGGGGCGGCATAGAAATGTTTTAATTAATAAATAAATAAATAAATATTAACAGTTAAAATGACGTTTGAATAAAAAGGTCTTTGCCTGGCGTGGAAAAACAAATAACGATGGTGCCAGGCGGACCTCTCTGGGGAGCGCATTCCATAGATTGGGCGCCACCGCAGAGAAAGCCCTCCTCCGAGTACCTACCCTCCTAATTTCCTTCACGGAGGGTTCCCGGAGAAGGGCCTCTCCCGCAGATCTCAGGGGGCGGGCAGGCATATATGGACATAAGTGCTCCTTCAGGTAACCAAGACCCAAGCCGTTTAGGGCTTTATAGGTAATCACCAACACCTTGAATTAGGCCCGGACTTCAATGGGAAGCCAGTGAAGCTGACGGAGGACTGGAGTCATGTGAACATAATGCCCAGTCCCCGTCAGCAGCCTGGCAGCTCTATTTTGAACCAACTGAAGTATCCGGACCGTCTTCAAGGGTAGCCCCACGTAGAGTGCATTACAGAAGTCAAGGCGGGAAGTCACCAGCACGTGTGTCACCGTCACCAGGCAGTCGTACTCCAGGTAGGGGCGCAGCTGATGAATCAGCCGAAGCTGAAGGAAAGCGCTCCTCGCCACTGCTGTCACCTGAGCTTCCAATGAAAGCTCTGGGTCGAGGAGCACTCCCAAGCTGCAGACCTTGTCCCTAAGAGGGATTGCAACCCCATTCAGGACTAGGTTCAATTCACCCTCACCAAAGCCCGATCCGCCAACCAACAGGACCTCCGTCTTGTCTGGATTGAGCTTCAGTTCATTGGCCCTCATCCAGCCCATTACCTCAGCCAGGCACCGGTTCAGCACAGCCACTGCCTCACCTGGATTGGGGGAAACGAGAGGTAGAGCTGGGTATCATCAGCGTACTGATGATTCCGCAGCCCACACCTCCTGATGACCTCTCCCAGTGGTTTCATGTAGGTGTTGAACAGCAAAGGGGACAAAATGGACCCCTGCGGTACTCCATGGCATAGCTGCCATGGCGCAGAGCCATAGTCCCCCAGCACCACCTTCTGGAATCGGCCATTGAGATAGGAGTGGAACCACTGCAAAGCAGTGCCTCCAACCCCCAATCCTGCTAGCCTATCCAGAAGGATACCATGGTTGATGGTATCGAAAGCCACTGAGAGGTCCAGAAGAACCAAGAGGGACGCACTCCCCCTGTCCTTCTCCCTGAACAGGTCATCGTGCAGGGCAACCAAGGCAGATTCAGTGCCGTACCCGGGTCTGAAGCCGGACTGAAATGGGTCCAGATAATTGTTAAAATATATGATCTGGCCAGGGCAACTTCTTCCTTCTCTTTTCTCCTCCTATATTCTTTATTTACTTATTTTATACTGTTAATTTAAATTTTATATTATTATGTTTGTATCTCAGTGTATTTTTTTTGTATTTTTGTATTTAGTGGTAATTTATTATGTTCTATTGTATTTCAATGTATTTTATTGTGTTGTAAGCCGCCCCGAGGCTTCGGCAAGGGGCGGCATAGAAATGTTTAATCATCATCAGCAACAGCATCAGCATCAGCATCAGCATCATCAGTTTCATCCAAGAGAGCTTGGAGTTGTCCCACCACCACCTGCTCCAACACCTTGCCCAGAAACGGGATGTTGGCCGCTGGTCTATAATTAGTGGCCATCTCTGGATCCAGTGACGCCTTCTTCAGGACCGGTCGGACTACCGCCTCCTTTAAAGGGGCAGGTACCCGACCCTCCCTCAGAGAGGCATTAACCACTTCCAAGATCCAGATGCCAATCCCGTGCTTGGAATTATTTATTAACCAAGACGGGCAAGGGTCCAATAGGCAAGTGGTGGGACATACTTGTCCAAGCACCTTGTCCACATCATCAGGCCGCAATAACTGAAATTCATCCATTAATTTTGGACCAGACGGTGACATTGGTATCTCCCCAGAAGCCTCTGAGTCACTAGTAGAGTCTAGCTTGTGACGAATCTGAGCGATTTTCTCCCTGAAATGCTTGGCAAAGTCGTCACAGCAGGCCTTCGAGGGTGGAACCAGATCTTTCTTAGGGCCAGGATGAACCAGGCCTTGCACCATTCAAAAAAGCTCCACCGGATGGTATTTTGAGGAGGCAATGGGAACGGAAAAGAAATTCTTTTTTGCCGCCCTCAGCATAGGCCCGATAATGGGCTCTCAAGTGTATTCGGTCAGATTCATGCCGTGATTTCCTCCACCTACGCTCTAGCCGTCTCCCAGCCTGCTTCATCGCCTGCAATTCAGGTGTATACCAAGGGGAAGAGTGGGCTCTGCCTGGCAGGAGAGGACGCTTAGGAGTGATCGTGTCAACAGCTCTGGTCATCTCCCCATTCCACAGTTTGACCAGAGCCTTGACAGGAGCACCATTCTTGTCAGCCGGAAACTCCCCCAGGGCCTTCAGGAATCCATCCGGATCCTTCTGGCTCCGGGAGCGGGCCCATACAATCGGGTCCACACTCTTATAGAGGGAGAGGCCGCTCTCGAGCACAAACCTCACCAGGAAGTGATCTGACCATGACAGGGCTGTCAGACATAAATTCCTCACCCTCAGACCACCCTCTTCCTGCCCTGTCGAGAAAACCAGGTCCAGAGTGTGTCCACGGTCATGGGTCGGGCCGGTGACATGTTGAGACAGCCCCATGGCCATCATGGAGGCCATGAAGTCCTGAGCCACCCCAGTCAGACCAGTCTCGGCATGGAGATTGAAGTCCCCCAGGACCAACATCCTGGGGGTCCTCAACACCAGGTCCGAGACGATCTCCGTCAGCTCAGGCAGGGAGACTGTTGGGCAGAAGGGTGCACGGTACACCAACAGAATCCCCAATCTGTCTCGGTCGCCCAACACCAAGTAGAGGCACTCTAGCCCTGGCCTTGAAGGGACTGGAAGTCCCTTGAGGGAGATGGAGGCTCGGTAAACCAAAGTGACCCCCTCCCCTCTGGGCATGAACAGTGCTGAACCAGATACCCGGGCGGGCACATTTGAGAGAGGGCGACATCGCCCCCCTCTCCCGCCCAGGTCTCCGTTATGCAAGCCAGGTCGGCCCCCTCATCCACAATCAAGTCATGGATGAGGGAAGATTTATTGTGGACTGACCTGGCATTGAGCAGCAGCACCGTCAGGCCCGAGGGGTGGTTGACAAGACTACCTGGAACCCTCTGGCTGGGGGCAAAACCAGAAGGAGGGACAGGTGTCAGCCATCTGTCCCTCCTTCTTCTATGCGGACAAGATGAAACAAGATGAAACAAGACCCATGTAAGCTTCCACGAGAGGTCGTTGAGGCCCCATCGGTGCGGGTGTTCAAGGAGAGGCTGGACATGCACATGGTGGGCATGTCATGAGCGGAGCCGGCTGGAGACGGGGGTCAGACTAGATGGCCCGGGAGACCCCTTCTGACTCGCTCTGTTTTCTATGTTTCTATGTTTCTAAGTTGTTAGAGGGGTCCCATCTGGGTGGCCAAATTTGTTAGGGACAAAATAAGTCCCTCTTGTTTGTTGTCTGACTGTGGAAGCGACAGGCAACATCAGCAAGTAATTTTATATAAAAAGGACTCTTTATATAACTTTAAAAGGACTCTTCTTACAATGGAGAATGCACCTGCCTCCAGCCAAGGCCAGCTGCCATCACTGTGCTCGGCCACTTCGTACACTTAGCTTTTTGCAATGATTGGCAACAGGAAAATCAGAGCAGAAAGCACTCAGTTATTTTGTACCATGGTTATCATGAATTACAATTCTTTTGAGGATCTTGGATGTTGAAACATTTCCCTTCAGACTTATCTAAACAAATTCTGACCATCTTGACAAAGGTTTATTCTATATTTTCAACCCTTTTGAGTCTCTGATAGAACACTAAATGCCTGACCCCTCTTGTTTGGTAATTCCAAAGATTTCATTTTCTTTGGCTGGAGAAAGAGCTGCCCCATTAAAAGGTCTCTGTGTTCTTGCCTGTGAGTTCTATAGCAGCAAGAGCAGTGATGAGTCCAAAAGAGAGGGGCAGAGGGAAAATTTTAGTTTGCATTCAGTGGCCAGACATTTCTCCCCCCATTCTGGGAGAAGCCTTTTCAGTTTATATTGTTCTGCTGCCTGTCAAGTTTTGCTAAAAGACCTGTTCTCTGAAGGTTACATTCAGAGTTTGATAAAGAGAAGAAAAGAGGGAAGGGACCGGCTTATGACATCCACCCTGGAGTTAGTGGGAGGCAAATTGAAGGGTGTACAAATTGGTGGGCAGGCTACCTGCACAACCCTTGCGAAAATATGGGTGCCTTCCTTCCACGCCCTGGAGAACACCCATGTCCTCACTCCCACAGTGCCTCTGACCCATAAATAGGGCAGAGAATAGGGCGGAGGGGCTGTTTGATCCCTGTGGGAAGTGGAGGAAGAGGAAATTAACCGACAGGGTTGCTTGTGAAGGACAACCATGTTTGTGGGGAAAACTTTGTGACCAATGCACCTTTTTTTAGATATGTTGACAACTGCAGGTATAGAGAGCTTGCATAAGGAGAAGTTGGGGGATTTTGGAGTTTCCTTGAATTAACAAAATGCCAGCAATACAGGCAGCAGAAGGGAGACCCTTAGATTTCGGGTGAGGGGCTTCAAAGGACCTTGACCACTGTATCTACTGCAACTTCTTTAAGGCTAGGCTCAGACCACAAAGTAAGCCATGGCGGTTTTACCATCGTACGTCTCTGTTGTCCAAGCCCAGTCATGGTATTTCAGCAAGGTAAATTTGGTCTTTAGAGGCCATGATAAGAAACCATGGTTTGTTGAATGGTTCCTCCATGCCACTATGGTTTGTCATATTGTCTGACCTCAGGACTATGGTTTCTGTGGTCCTAGTATGTGAGTTTCTTGGAAAGAGAGGAAAATGCAGACGCCACTCTAGCTATCCAGCCTCTATGCGGGAACCAAGGAGAAAAAGGTAGGGGGCATAGGCAAGAAGCAATGCACCTTGGGATTGAATTTCAAGCTAATAGGACTGATCAGGGAGGATGGAAACCATGATAACACATAAAGTGTTATGTAAGCCTATAAATGCATATATAAATAAATAAAGTCACCTGATCTTCTTTCAGGTAGATCCTGGTTTAAAAATGGAAACCATGAAGGGTTGCATGCTCTGTTTATGTTAATATCCTGAGACGTTCTGAAGGGGACGGGATAGAAAAGCTTTTAATTAATAAATAAAAATAATGTGGGTAATCTGTAGATGATAAGGATTTGAAAAGCAGGATAAGCAAGCAAACAAATGGATAAAAATATCCACTTATATAAGCACGTTCCACCAAGTTGCTAACAAAAAACCAAATTTCAGTTTATAAAGGGGAATTTCTTGAAGTATCAGTGTATGATCTACTGCAAAAACCTGTGTAGCAAAAACCCACAGAGGACACAAAGCTTTGAACGTAGTATGGTCAGACCCCGGGTTACACAAGAGTTCTGTTCCTGAGAAAACAGAAATTCGTCTTTAAGTAAAATTTGTATTGGATCACATGTAGTTGGCTCTTCACACTTGCAGGGATTAGGTGTGCAGGACCCCCATAAAAGTGGAAAAGGCACAAATACCTCTGTTCTGCCCACTCCTGCCCAAATTCACCAACTCCTTCTCTTTGCAGCAAGGAAATGCTGGAGGGATTTACCTCTCTGGATGGGTGGAGCAAAAGGACATGCTGTGGAGGCCTCCCTCTCTCCCCTTTTGCTTCATCTCTCTGTGGTGATGCTTTGGAGGCCCTCCCTCTCTCCCCATTCACTTCCTCTCTCTGTGGTGCTGGCCATTTTCTGCAGTAATTTTTTACAATTAATGGGCTTTATGGCAATTCATTTGCAAGAACAGGTTGTTTGCAACATGGACATTCAGAACTAGGGAACTGCCTATATCCTTTCTATGTAGCTATTTCTTTATCCACCTCCCCACTCCTGCCCTTTAGGGAGCAATCCTATGGCCCCTAGGTAACACTGCGGGGGGCACAGGATAATTTGGATTTCCGGATCCAATGACAGAGGCAGGTCTCCTGACCTCTGAAGTGAGGATGCTTGTGCTGACTCTTCTACCCACCCCTCATCCTGTGGGGAGCTACCTCTGCATGGACAGGAAACTGAGCAGAGAGGGGAGGGGAGGGGAGGGGAGGGGACACTGGGGGTTCAATGAGGGAAGGAGACCAGCTCTGCAGAGACAGAAAGCATCCTGCCTGTGCCCCATCCACCTTCCCTCCCCCTCCAAAGCACTTCTCAAGGTGCTGTGCAGTTAGATTGCAGCCAAGAAAAAACAGGGAGGTGGGGGTCACTTCCGCCAGCTCTCCTTTTCTGTGCTTGGTGCATAGAAGCCTCCACATTGGGGAGATTGTGAGCATCAAGGGTGAAATGAAGATTATCGTGCCCATGGAGATTGTACTGATAGTCATGACACCTTTACTCCTCAAGTCATGGAAAAGGAAGGGGGAAACATAAGGCGGAGTACAAGGCCCATGGGAACAGGAAGACTCCTTTCCTGCATTGTATTGGAGAATAGAGGAAAGATGCAAGAATCGCGAAAAAGGTGGACCATTGCTCTCCTACGCAGTCATTTGGGTTCTGATAACAACTCAGTTTCAGTAAACATGATAACTATCAGTAGGAATGCAAATTACCAGAAATACCGCTTCTACCTTTAATACCAACTTGATTTGCATCTTTTCGTAGCAAATTAATCTGGAAAAGCTTTTCCTAAGGTTCTCGAGGATGCAAAACGTAAAGCAGGGTGCCCACCAGGTGGTGCAGACTCTAATTTCCATTTGACCCTGGCTTTGGCCATGCTGGCCATGGCTGATGGAAGTTGTCACCCAAAATATCTGGGAGACACCAGGGTGGAGAGGACTGGTGTAAGGAGAAGACTGGTTAGATGGCCCACTCTGCCGTACAATGGATATTTTCTATGAAACGAGACTCATCTATCAGGAGGCTAAAACAGTTCCGAGAAATGTAGATTGTGGTTGGCAATATGGGAGGCAAAATAGCTTAAAGTGCCTCCAGCTTGGAAATTCCATTTTTCTACACTATCATAGTTTCTATCCTCCCCACTCAGTCCTTCCACTGTTGGTATGTATTCCATCGGCCTGAAATTCAGTCCCAAGGTGCATTGCTCTCAGCTTATGTTCCCTGCTTCTTCTTCATTGGGCCACACATAGAGGTTGGATGGCTGTGTTTGCCACTTTTTCCAGGGGACACTTTGCTAGCTGTATGTCAGGACCATGGAAACATGATCTTGGTTCAGACAGTGCAGCAAGCCATGGTGGCATGGCGAAACCATTGAACAAACCATTGCTTCTTATCATGGCTCCGAAAGACCAAATTCGCCATGGTGAAGTTTCACAACGGGGTTCAGACACCACGACAGAGCAACAATGGTAAGAACCACCATGGCTTGCCCTGCTGTCTGAATACATATCAAGTCTGGGGAAATGTTAGTAACCAGAAAAAAAACCTCTATTGTAACCTATGAATTTCCCGTGGTATCTAGGGAAAATATGAGAAAATGGTTGTGTGCTTTAACCAGAGAGGGGAAAAAAAATCAAACTAAGAAGCATCATGCAGGAATCCCTGGAGTTTCCACACCTGCTCAACCACCTTGCATGGACACAGTATCCCTGATTCCCAGGAAAGGAATATCAATTCCCCCTTCTTTCATTCTTCAATATGGACAAGACAGTGAAATCTGGATAATAGTTTATTAATCTATCATTGCTTTCTGTGATCAAGTACAAAGAAAGGGAAACGGATAAAATCTTAAGACCGCCCCCCCAACTGGAGTATGACCTGCTTTCTCAGCCTGGTCCTGCTGGATACTGGAGATCAGGGCCATCTCTCTTCCTGAGGACTCTCATGTCCAATGGGCATGACCACCCAGACTAGGACTGGAAACCATCATCCCTGAATTCTACTCTATGTGGTGAACTTCCAACCTGTGGGTTGTGGTCCCGGTTGGTCAGTCAGGAAGCCAGTAACAAGTAGGATCAGGCTGGAGTTGCAGGATTCTGAAGAGCTCCAAGTGGAGCACTTGCTTCGACACAGCCCAAACCTGTTTTGTCCTATCCCTCTGAGGGTCCACCCTTCCTGAATAGTAGCAAGCAGAAGAATCAGTCCTATAGCCTGAAGCTTCCTGCTTGCTCACCTGTCAATTGACTCCCACCTTGTGTAATGTCTGTGCTGATTAGTAAGCCCTGGGAAGCAGGGGACTCTTGATTTAAGGGGAATCTCCTGGTGGGATCTCTCAGGGGGTACCACTGGAGGTCCAATTCTTGAGAAGGAGGCTGTTGCTCCGCAGCAGCCTCAGATCCTCAAGCTCAGCATCATGGCCTACATCTGATTTTAGACCCTTCGGTGCACACACTGCCTGTTTGCTTGATCTACTGAATAAGCCTGAATTGCTGTCGCACCAAGAATTCCCCCAACATTGACTTGCACTTCATCCATCACAATGGGCTGCAGCCACTGCTAGTCTTGACTGAAAGCAATCAGACTGAAGTAAGAGTACTACTGGGTGCAACCCAATGCGCTTCATTACTGCAGGCTTTCAAGAAGGCCTTGAAAATGTCTTGCTTTGCTCCGGCTTTTTCTTAATGCGGTTGCTTTTGTTACTGTTTTCTTATTTCAGGCTTTGTTCTTGGTTTTACCGGTTTTCACTGTGCTTCCACCAGTCTCAATATCATGCCAATTGTCTGTTTGATTTTATGTGTATGCCACGACCTAAAAGTTGGCTAAGAAATACTTTAAATAAATTAAATAAATAATATCTCTCCCTGCTTACCATATTGCTAATCAGTATTGCAAAAAGAAGGAGAAGGAAACAACTACATTCCTAAGGAATACAAGAAGAATTCCTTCCTCTTCTATGGAATGCATCCCTACATAGACCAATTATGGGTTTATAAACTGTTGATGTAATTGACTATACTGTCCATTCCCCTTTGGGCAAATGGAAAATTGAGAAACCAGCGTTTGAAAAGGAGAAGCACCCCATGGAATCCATCCTGGAGGTGGCACCAGGAGACCTGGACACCGTTGTCCTCCAAACGTTTTTTGTACAAAAGGCCATCATCTCTTAGTACATCAAATTCACAGGTCAAAATGAAAGTGTCCGGCAACTGCTGAATGATGGCATCTTCCACTAAAAGTGGGGACAAGGCTGGTTCCGTTATAACTTTCATCAAACTGTAGATATTGTCAAAAGCGTAAGATGGCGGCTGAAATTCTGTGTAGCTGCCTCTCATTTTTACTCTCTGGGGAATATGTTCAGGATTTAGCCATTTCTTGAACATCTCTTTCCTGTCTTCGGGGATGTGGGTTTCCTCGACGACAAATTCCAGCACGGACTTGTTCTTGGTGATGTACAGTAATATAAAATATAGGAAAAGGGTCTGGGACACAATAGGAACCAATCGGTTTTGCTGGTAAGATAGCAAATTGAAATCCAGACCCTGGAGGAAAGGACCAACAAGGACCTGTGCACGAAGTTTGGGGAAGTCTGTCCTCTTCACGAGGTCTTGGGTAACAAAGGCACAAAGTGTTCCTCCTATGCTATCCCCACAAATAACAATTTGATCAGGATTAACCCCATATTCCTCTGTACTCTTCATAAAGACTTCTGTAGCAACAAGGCAGTCCCTGAACTGGGTAGGATATCGGTATTCAGGAGCCAGGTGGTATCTGTGGAGAGAAAAAGCATGCAGCTTGTTTAAATCCCAGACTGGTGAAACCAAGCAGCATTTGAAGGAATCCTGGGTCATCTGAGGTTAAACTCCCATCCTTTTGCTGGGCTGTAGAGCCCAGTGCAAAACAAGAGAATGAAACCCATACTTCACAAGCCAAAGCACACCTCAGCTCAGTTCTCAGCTTAAAGTAGGAGGCAGAGATTTGGAAGGGCAGAGGTGAAGGACACGAGGAAGATCCTCAGTGCAAGAGCATGGTTGTCCTCCTGATCACGATGCATGGGTGTGAAAGCTGATAGAAGGCAAAATTATGCATGGGAAAAGGGACGCTGGAGGACAGCTTTAATGAATACCCTGCAGTAATGGGGAGAGGAAGAAGTGGATCTCTGAGCAAATTAAGCCGGAACTTGCCCTGGAAGCAAATTCTAAAGAAACTGAGGCTGTCGTATTTTTGGTCACATAAAAAGGCAAGACTCCCTGCAGAAGTCAATCCTACTGTTTGTTTGTTTGTTTGTTTGTTTAAAACTTTCATATGCCGTCACCACATGCCTCAGCATCTCGGGATGGCTCATAAATGTACAATTAAAAACAATAAAAAATCCATAAAATTATATAAAAACAAAAACAAAAAATAAAAAAAACAAAAAAGCAACTGTTAACGATAAAAATATTAATTTTTAAAATAGCAATTAAATAAAAAGGTTTTAACCTGGTGCCCAAAATATAGACTCGGCATATGTCTATATTTGTCCCAGCCACGAATCCAAACTGGAATTGGTATAAAAAAGCATTCACACAATATCTAGTGGGTGTTGTAAAGGTGGATGGGAAAGTAATTTCAGTTCATTTTTTACCCAATCCAGATATTCACCAATATTCCTCACCACCTTGTAGAGCAACAAAGGGTGCCAGCCAAAAAGTCTGTGTGCAGAATTTCAGCCTTGCCTTCAACAGAGCAGTAAAGAAGGAGTCCCAGTCAGAGCAATTTTGGGAATACTTACCCAACGGAAGCGACCACGGCATCACATTTCCAAGCTAAGTAACGGCACACGTTTTCATATGCATCTGTAAGATAAATGGTGCCCTTTGTATTACTATTCACATGCTAAGGGTTGGTGAGAGAGAGACTCATGATGGACAGGCTTCTATGGTCCAAGGGATTTCCACAGGGCATGAGAACCATTCGTATAGCGCAGCCACTAAAAAGGAAGCTCATCTTCAGCAGGAGTCAGGACAGGTACTGTATATTCTCGCCATGCTGGGAAAACCTATCAATGTGGGCAGTACAGAGAAGGCAAACCCACAAATTTCTCTTTCTCTAATGGCTGGTTAACACAGGTGTCCCTCTCTCTAGTGGACTTAGGAATTCAGCATGATAAATGGTAAACTTTACATCTAATCCTACCCTCTGTCACTACTTGCACTGGTCTGAAAGTGTTTCTTAACTTCTGCCGACTCAATGGGCCGCCAAAGAGAAACAGCTCTCCTAGCTACTTTTGGAGGTGGAATGGTGAAAATCCATGTAATTTTGGCATGGGGGGATTTGCTTAGAGAGAGGCAAGAATTGTGTTTGAGTTCCTTGTTGATAACAATTTGCCAGGCTCCTCCCATTGGGGACAGGAAGAAGTAGGGAGCGACGAAGGTGTGAATGTGATGTTTAGTGACACTGAAAAGTTTCTCCATCCAAATCCAGGACTTGGAGTGCTTAATATAAACACCTGGGTTGGATAGAAACATAGAAACATAGGAAAAGAGCGAGTCAGAAGGGGTCTCCCGGGCCATCTAGTCTGACCCCCGGCTCCAGCTGGCTCCGCTCACGACATGCCCACCATGTGCATGTCCAACCTATCCTTGAACACCCGCACCGATGGGGACTCAACGGCCTCTCGTGGAAGCCCATTCCACACCCTCAGGGTCCTGACTGTCAGGAAGTGCTTCCTGGCATCCAAATGGAACCTGGTTACCTGAGCTTTGCTCCATTGGAGTGCGTCTTGCCTTCTTCTGCAGGGGAGAACAGGTCTCTACCCACCTCCGTGTGACACGCCCTCACATACCTGTATGTTGCCAACAGATCCCCTCTGAGTTTCCTCTTCTCCTGGCTGAAGAGACCCAGTTCCCTCAGTCTCGCCTCATACCCCATCCCTTGCAAACCGGCCACCAACCTTGTGGCCCTACGCTGCACTGACTCCAACCTGGCTATATCCTTCCTGTAATGAGGGGCCCAAAACTGAGCACAATACTCCAGTTGCGGGCGCACCAGAGTCATGTAGAGTAGTAGCAACACCTCTCTCGATCTAGAAGCCACACTTCTGGCTATGCAACCAAGGGTGGCATTCGCCCTCTTGGCCACCGCATCACACTGCTGACTCATGTTTAGCTTGCAGTCAGCCCGCACCCCGAGGTCCCTTTCACAAGTGCTGCTCTCCAGCCACTTGTCCCCTGACCTGTACTTATGACACTCATTCCTATGCCCCAAGTGCAAGACCTTGCACTTATCCACATTGAATGCCATCCTATTGTCTCCTGCCCACTTCCATAGTCTGTCCAGATCCTTCTGGATCTGGAGTACCTGCTCCTCAGTTGTGGCCACTGCTCCAGTTTTAGTGTCGTCTGCAAATTTGATCAGCAGACTGTTCACCCCTCCTTCCATGTCGTTAATGAAAAGATTAAGCAGGATCGGCCCCAGGACAGAGCCCTGGGGGACTTCGCTTGTCACTGTGTATTCCACTACATTGGTGCTTGCATTATTTTGTAAACCTCTGCAGGGTATGTTCCAAAGTAGAATCATTATAAAAATATTGAACATGAACACAAATGGACGCTCTGATCATATTAAAACCAGTCTACATAAGTCAGACTTTGCCTCTTTGAGTCTGTCTAAGTATTAAAAGCATCAGAGGCATACCTCTGAATGGGTACTGGGGAATTGGTTCTCTGTCATGGCCCTACGTCTTAGCAACTCCTTCTCCGGTGAACTATTCATGATATTCTAATTGTGGGTGCTTGTGTTTCTGGTGATTTGTAATACCCAATTTGGACATAGGGTCTTCCACCAAATCAAATCATTTTACCACCCTGTGATGTAGAGAAAGGTGAGCTATAAAAACTTTAAATAAATAAAAATAAATAAAATAAGACTTGTATTCAAGACAGCCTGTTGCTCCATTTTCTCTCCCTGAATGCAGTGTTCCTTATGTTTGTGTTTGGTAATATGTTTCCCTGGTTGAGCAAGGGAATGAATCTTAACTCTGGGAACTAGCGCTAATCCAGGGTGAGGTTCCACGTGCGCTTAGTCACGGGCCCACCTTCCCAGCCGAGCTAGTCGTGTTAGGTCTACTGCTGCAGAAACAATGAAGAATCTGGGGTCCTCTTCAGGACGGATGGGTTTGTTCTGACACAAGTGTTCCTGGTCTATAGACCAGGGGACGTTGCAGGGCATTGTGGGATATGCAGCAGAGAGGACAGCTGGGGTTGATACCGGCACCGAGAAGCAGCTTCTCTGCTTGAACTAGCCGTTTCAAGGACGAGGTGCATTCTGCTTAGTCTCTTTTGAGAAGACCAAGCAGGACCAAGCTCACTTCTCCCCCACTTGCTTCACTCACCACGGCAGCCGCCGAGTGGCCACCGCAGCAAGGGATGGGGTGCGTTCTGCCACAATGAGCAGGAGACGTCCCGTCTTGCTGCGCCTTCTGTTGCTGACTGCGGCAGGTACTCCTCATACGTTGCCGCAAGCAATGGGGGGCCGTCTGTACCATCACACCACACGACCTCCTCCAGCCCCGAGGGGCTGGGGGAGGCAGCACACACTGGCAAGGAAGCCAATGGCAAGGACCCAAAGTGGTGGTCATAGGAGCTGCTTAGCCAGTGCAGCAAGACTTTCTGCCCCTCTGGCCAAGCAGCTCAGGGCTTCTCCTGGGCTTGTTGTTCTGCCTACATTAGAATAACACGCCAAGTCTCAGGTTGGCTATAAAGACCCACAGCAAGCCATGGGTTGTTCAACTGGCTTTGTAGACACAAAGAACCCATCCTGCCGTAGGCACTGGGTTTAGCAGCATGCTAGACTGTTTGCTTAGGATGGCAACATAGCAGGATTTTGCTGAAATATCTAAGGTCTAACTGGATATGTAATGACTGGGAACCAGCATCCGGAGGGCCAGGTGAAGAGCAGCAAAGCCTGCCCATTCTTGTGCTGATCCCCTACGTCACTTCCGGCCCTGATTTTGCCCACTTTGGGGTTGTGTGTTCACTTACTACTGGCACGTGTCACTCCAAACATCAGCCTCGAGAGACATAAAGGTTTCTTTGTCCTTTCTATGTACCACGATCTTCATTTCACTTTAGAATGACTGTGCGTCCTTACCGATACTTCCAAATATGCCAGATCCTCCATGAATGAACAGGATTCCTTTCCTTTTCCCGGGACAGGGTACTCGGGGTTGATAGAGCCTCACAGGTACATTTTCAAAGAATGTGTTCTTGATGGAGAGCCTTGACTCTTTCTCTGGAGGTAGACCATCCACGACAATCCTCAGAAACACAAATTGACTACAAAGACCCATTTTCCATAAAATATAATCCTGTTTGAGTTGGTGGAAGGAAACAAGGTCAAAAGTCAGTTGTGCAGTTTATACAAAAGTTGCGGTGTAGAGATGATATTCTAACTTGATGTTCTAACATGGTCCCCAAACTCCAGTCCCCAAGCATCGCTGAGCTACACCATGCAACCTTCCTGACCTTTGGCCACATTTTCTCAGGACAGAGGGGACTTGGTGACATCAGTGTGGGCTTTGCTCAGACCACAGTGTGCCCCTGGAGTCTTTCCTAACATGGGCTAGGATTTGCTTGGAGGGAAGAGCCTGAGAACCTTGGAAAATGAAGTGATAGGAAAAATGAATTATGAAACGAATAATACGCAATAGGAAATGAATTACCAGATCAATCCCTGGGCTGTCACTGTAAACTGCGGAGGAAGACGCGAATATTTAGTCTGCAGAGCTCTCCTTATCCTGCTATCTTATATCCACCCCAGGGCCTCAACCCACAGCATACTTACGCACTGTGCAAACCTGCCCGACCAGATCCGGTGGGAGGAGAAGGCAAGCAAGCAAAAGCACAAGCCGGTTCCCTGTTAGCCGGTTCCCTGCTGGTGGGCTGCACTGGCAGGAGGGCTCGTGCTGCAGCCCCATGAAGGTAGACTCAGAGGTGAGTCCCCTGGAGCAAGTGAGGAGGGGTCGCAGCCTGACTCCCCTTTTGCGTATGATCCCTGAGCATACCGACTCGTTTTGTTGCATTCAGCAGCTGCAAAAGAGGTCACTGCAGCCTGTGAAGCATCGGCCGTAGGGAGGGAGAGCAGCACTCTTTCTTGTCCTTCTGCACTCCTGACCTACGTCACGCCTCCAGAGCTGCTACCTCCGGGACAAGGGGTTCGGCTTGTTCTCATCAGTATGAAGAGGGGTTTTTCTTCAGAAGCAACTATCTTGCTTTTTTGCAAGGACAGAAAAGCTCCTTCCCTGCCCCTCCGGTTCGTAGGTTCCTTGGGTGTTTTAGGCAAAGCAATGCAGGTTAATGCCATTACTCCATCGATCCATCCAGCCCGGCTATCAGAGAACTGGGCTTCGTTCGCCGTCGCTTTACCCCTCCGAGTGCAGCGAATGCAGATGGCTGAGCCATTGCCTGGGGCGCCGAGCAGACGGTGGCGGATTCTGGTGCCTGCACGCATGTTGCTTCTGGGCTCTGGACTCATTTTCAGTGCACAGCACACAAACACACGCCCTTTCCTAGTCATTCATTTCCCCAAACCTCCCTTCAGAACTCGTGTACAGCCAGCTCTTAAGGATTACTCACCACACCGAAAGACATGGTCATGAAAATGTGCAGGGCTCTGATCTTTAGAGGCTGGCAAATCCCCGAAGGCATTTCTGTTGAGGCGAAGTGGTAATAAACGGCCCATGCTAGCAGCAGGCAAAGACTGGTGACCAGGAGTCCTACAGCCTGGGACAGCAGGGCCAGGAAGAGCACCATCCGGGCTGGGTGAGGTGCCACTTCGCTCCCGCACACTGAGGAATGTTTCTACCATGGATAAGTATATGAGGTATGAGTGCTTCCCACTGTGTAGGCGGAGGCGATTAGAAGCAGCTGCTTGCAGGAACCAGCCCAGAGCATTCGGCTCTTTTGCGGCTGCTTCCCCGGCTGAAAAGTCACACTCCTCCAATGCACACCTTTCATGCTGCTGCTTTGATGCCTTTCCCCCTTGCAGGAAGAGTGGGTCCTTGATTAACATCTGTGGGAAGGGAGAGTCCTCTGACAATTAGGAACCCCACTTCTTGTTCTGGGGTATCATTATTTATTCACTTAATACATGTTCATGCTGCCCAAAAGGCTCTCTGGGAGGTTAGCAGGATCCAAAGAAAACAATAGCAACAAAACACCACCGACAACAACAAAAGCAAGAAACGGATAAGCTGATAACTTGAGGAGGGACTTTAGCTGGAACTTCAGAGACTGGAATGCATAGGATCTCCGGCCATTAGATGTGGATGTACCATGAATAGTTAATATCGATATAGTCCTGCGGTATCCTTGAGAATACGTAAAGATAGTTAAATCATGATGCATTATGGGATGAGCTTTAATAACTTGCATTGGAGGGATGACTAAGGGTCGATATGGAGGCACCCAGAGACCTTCTGTCACCTGTATGTGCATTTCCTTCACGAAGAGATGCTTCAGCGTATCACAGAATTGCCCCACTATTGATGAGTCTGACATACCCATTTCAGCTTATAGCAGCTGCAATTGTCAGGTTGTCCATGTGGTCTTCCCAGCAAGAGGCTGCCATGCACTCAACTGGCTTGGCTTGGCTTGGCTTGGCTTGGCTTGGCTTGGCTCCAGACTATATCTGTGGGCAGAAGATTGCCTCCTGCAGGTGCAATCCTTTGAATAGGGGTGCTATACTGGACCCACATTTTCTTCCACAGATCTAAAGCACCTTGGTCAGCTTTAAAGTAACAGTAGATGGACCCATGAGGAGAGACTGAGGGAACTGGGCATGTTCAGCCTTGAGAAGAGAAGACTGAGGAGGGAACATGAGATCCCTCTGTAAGTACCTCAAAGGCTGTCACAAAGGGGAAGGTCAAGATCTCTAGTTGACTTCTTGACAGAGTTTCACTGTGGGCTCTTCAGCCATCACATGGACATGCATGAATTAAATTGCAAAATGAGAAAGGCGATAATCCTCATTAGTCATAACTTATCTGAAGCACTGTGTCCAGTTCTGGGCACCAAGATCTAAGAAAGATGCAGAAAAATTAGAAAGGGTCCAGTGGAGGGCAACAAAGATGATCCAGGGTTTGGAAACACTGCCCTGCGAGGAGAGACTGGGAGAACTGGGCATGTTCAGCCTTGAGAAGAGGAGAATGAGGGAGGACATGCTATCCCTCTATAAGGACCTCAAAGGCTGTAACAAAGAGGAAGTCAAGATCTCTTTTTGCTGATGCCTGCGTGTAGGACTCACAATAATCAATTCAAGTTGTGAAACCCAGTTTCAGGCTGGAGATCAGGAACAGCTTCCTCACAGCCAGATCAATACACCAGTGGAACCAGCTGCCTGGAGAGGTGGGGGGCTCTCCCACACATTCAGAAAGAACCTGGACAGCCCTCTGAGTGGGATGGTGTAATGTAGAATCCTGCAACAGCAGGGGGGGTGGACTCAACGGCCTTCATGGCCCCTTCCAACCCTATGAGTCCATGGGTCTGTGAAGGATGTGGTCTTCAGTATAGGTGGCCTCCACCTGCTAGTTGCTGGGGAACATGCATGGGGCAGCATTTGGTCCGGTTTGTGGGCTCCCCACAGGCATCTGGTTGTCCGCTGTGGGAACTCAGTCTCCTTCCACCCTTGGTCCTTTATTCACAACCAGGCATCCAGTTCAGGCAGTTCTTTCTTGCCTCTGGGATTCTTGGCCTTCTGGCTTCTGGGCATTTGGCTGTACGTTTGGTGCACGAAGCACAGTGAAAGAAAGCAGCTCGGAAAACAGCCCAGCCCAGGGATGGTTTCTGAACCGCAGAAGACCAGCCTGGTCCCATCTGTTGGCCTGCACAGGAGCAGCTACAGAGGGCTTGCCTTCCTCTCCCCAGGCAGAAAGAGCACTTGTTCTTTTTCCCTCTCCTTTTTATTGTGCAATTCAAAATCAAACCCAGAATCCAAATGAGAAAGCAAGAATAAAGGACTACAGTTTTCTTATGCAAGAGTTAAGTCAATCTGTTGCAATGAAAAGGTAGATTCTCTGTATCTCCCTGTCTATCTTGTACCTGGAAAGATGCCCTACTGTTAATGAAGTCGGTTATGCAAAGGCTGCACCAGGCAGCCCAAATACCCATATATTTCTCTATTTGGAAATTACACCCACAGACCCCCATTCAGAAATCGAAGGTTCCAGAAGAAAGTCCAATCAGCAAAGATGGGAAAAGCCAGCTAATGATGCAGTGATGGCAAAACTCACCAGCTATGCAAATCGAAGGCCAGCCCAAGTTTTTAATGAGACATGGGGAACTTTTTATATATGTTTTACATAATAATTGAGATGAAAACAGAATGATTAAGAGGATACATCTTCCAATAAGTCATAAAAAGAAAATCCAGTTAATGAATTCAGCTACAAATGGAAAACCTATCAATGTTTTATTTTTATTTTTTGGGGGTTTGGTTTTTTTTTTGTAATTGTGAAAAAAATGAAGTTTTGGATATCATTTTTTTTCTGAAATAAGGAGGGGAAGAAGGGAAGAAGAGGAAATGGGTGGGAGTGGAGGAGGAGAGGAGCAGAGAGAGAGACAGAGAGAGGAGGCAAAGCATATTTAATTCCAAATTGGTTTTTGGATATGCTCTATGGTGATGAACCTTTTAGAGACCGACTGCCTAAACTGCAACCTGAAACCCACTTATTTATCGCAAAGTGCCAACACTGCAATAAAATCTGCGTACTGAGGTTTTAGTTTAGAAAAAAACAACCCACAGCCAGTCCGAGCAAATATATATATATATATATCCTTGGCAGCACACTGACCGGCCATGCGAAAGCTCGGACGAGTCGCGGCTCATGACGTCATGGCCTGGAGCCGCTACTCCTTTCCAAGAATGCACATGTCCCCGTGCTCACTGTTGTCCGATGCTCGGCTGCTGGGGCGATGCTGGGGCGACTGGGCTCGCATGCCGACAGAGAGGGCTCTGCGGTCCGGCTGCAGCACATGTGCCACAGGTTTGCCACCACTGCTCTAGGCTGATTCATAGCTTACTCGTTTCCGTTGGCATTCACAAGGTATTGTGCCCTCACAGCAGCTTCTTGTCAATTATACAGGTTACGGATTGGGAAAATTAAGTACTGAAGCACACTGCTATGTTTCAGAACTATTCATAGCTTCTCATGACCCACAATGGACTGATCTTCTGACATTCTTTCGCATACTCCAGTAGCTAATGTATATTTTCAGTATGATCACCTGTGCTGCATTCTCTTTGGAATTCAGCTGGAACATCAGACATTTCTCTGTCCAGAGAGGGTAATATTCTATGCTGTGACATCTTGAGCATCATTTTGCTTGCAAGATACATCAATGCACCGGTCCGGCTAATGGGGCACCTTGCATCCCCCTTCTTGGGAACAGGAATGTATCTTGAACATTTCCAGTCTAGGTTTGTGTTGTTGCAAGCCGCCCAGAAATCGTTGGTTATTTCCCTCTGACTTTCTTGAGTATATTGCACCTGCTTAACAACTCACCTATGCACCGAGCTCCTTCTGAGGCTGCACAGTTTCGTTTCTCTCTTTCCAAGTTTCTGGCTGCCCAGAGGCTCAACCATCCCCTGGGAGAGCATGCGTGTGTGGTTGCCTTTCGGTCTTTGGAATGTGAAATCAACAGCAAATTAGGACGGGCTGTCTCATTGTTCATGTTGTGCTGGGGAAGAGATTTCCCTCTTCCTCAAGATGTTTGCTTAGCATCTCTCCATGGATAACCGAGCAGATTCTAAATCACATAATAAGAGATTGTTGACGTCGCCCTAAATATGCAACTGCTCCTTGCCCACAGCAACCAGCTAAGCTGAACCATCTGGTTAGCCATACAGGGGAAGGGGAGGCACCAAACTACCCTTTACTGGCAAGCCCATTGCCTTTCCCCTGCTAAGCTAAGGACACATCCCAGCGGGACTGCTGCTGCCTTTCAGGAGTTGCTTGAGTACCAGTGTCCCACCAGCAGGGATGGATGCAGGAGACCTTTGCCTGGCTTTCTTCCGTTTATGAGGGCCCCTCAAAAAAGACAGGAACCATCTTCTGGAGGGCAGACACCTTGTAATATATGTAGGTCTCCCCCACTAGGCGAGTCCTCTAGAGACCCATCTGCATCAGCGTACCCAGCTGGGTGGTTGTGTGAGACGGCGTCTGGCTGCACCGAGGTTTTTTGGAGACTCTTTCAATGTGTTTGCCTATTTCATGACGGCTGATTTACACAAACAACTCGCGGCGGTGAAATTTTGTTCAGCCGAGTGTTTGGCAGTGTTTGACCAGGAATGGCATGACCCTTGCGTCCCACCCTCTCTATCCACCCAATCTTGCCCCATCAGACTTTGATTTTGTTTCCCTGGATGAAAAAAGTCCTCGAAGGGAAACATTTCGCGATGTGGAAGAGGTGGAACAAAAAATGGCAGAAGCACTAAAAGGCATCAAAATCGACAAGTTCAAACCCTGTTTTGAGCAGTGGGGGAAAAAGTCTTATTAGGTGCATTGCATCCAACGGAGAGTACTTTGAAAGTAGCCGAAGTCTGAACATGTAAAAATACATACATGGTATTTTATAAATGAATTCCTGGGTTTTTTGGGTCCCCCCAGTGTCCCACCAGCTGGACATCAGCACTATTTGGCTTCTAAATGGATTTTTCAGCCTTTCTCCAGGCGGTGGAGATGGTGGCAACAGAGGTGTCTCCCTAACAGCCACTTGGCTCTTTTCTGCTAGCCACCCATCGGAGCACTCCCCTC